TCAGGTGCCCTTAATTTGCCACAGGGGTGGGGATGAACACTGTGCCACAGGGGAAAAACGCGGCCGACGGGCCAGGCCCAACAGACTTCACAGTGCTCTCAGGACGTTATTAGGCTAGCTCAGGCCCAGGGTCTTCTGTGGTCCCTGTTTTCGATTCGCTATCGATTCTGGGGAAGCAGCGGGCGCGAACGGCTAGTTCGGTCATTCGCAAATTCCGTGGCTGCCTGTGCTGTCAGTTTCTATCACCGCAAATATTACCTAGTCATCCATTCACGATACGCGCTAATTCCATGAAGACATTGCGGTCATTTTTCATATGTTGATTTCGTCGATTGAAATGCAGGGCAAGACTATGGAGACACTCTGCTCTCGGTGTAGAGCTGACGGATAACAATATTGTCATAAAAACGCAATGGACACTCCCCGAACTCAAAATACGCCAAACGTACCCCTAATCCCTAACTATATAACACAATAAGAAACAGGGTCGAAACACCCTTCGCTCTTGGTTTGCGTCCCCAGGCCCGTTTCCGATAAAAAAGGCCGTACCAAGGAAAAGAGGCTAAAAACCAATGACACCGAGGATGACCAAACAAAACGAAAGTCACCAGACGTAGTCACTACAGTACTCGGTGCCGTCATAATCAAACACGTTCTCGTCGGCCTCGAGCAGGCCACCGGCACTTCCCAGGCATAGACCGTAGTCTAGACAGTCTCGGTAATCCCGGTAGCAGTCGCGGTAGTCGCGAGCCGTCCCACCTGTCTCGATCTCATCCGCAACAGAAGGCTCTTCTTGGCCGACCTAGGCCTCTTCCTCCACCTCCTTAGGGATGAGGCCCGAGATGAAGCTCTGATACTGCTCGTCCTCGTCCGTGACCCGCCGCGAAGACCGAAGCTGTGGGATGGCGGATATAGACGAGGCTACCGAAGTCGACGACCGGGTCGATTTGCCCGCCTTGGTCGCCCACAGCACACCCTGCAGCGGCTGCGGGTGGCCCACGACGTAGTGCTCGTCGCCACCGCTGCCGTCGCCGTTGGCGTCGGCACTGTCGCTGTCGCCGCCGCCGACAGATGCCTTCTTGCTCACGTTGATGTCCATCGCTTCCAAGCCGCCGTCGTCAAAGGCCTCCTTGTCTTCGTCGCCTGCCGCCGTGATGGTGCCACCTGCAGGGCCACGCCGTGGCAGTCGCATCGCCAGTAGCACAAACTCCGCACGCGTCATGCTGTGCATAATGTTGTCCATGTAACGCGTCACCTCCTCGACGGGCGCCACCACCTTGGCCAAGTAGTCGAGCAGCTTCTGGCTGTTGGACAGCGGCGACACCTGCAGGCGCACCGTGATCGGCTGGTAGTAGTCGAGGTCCGGGTCGCCGCCGTACTCGGATGTGCTGCCCTTGCGGACAATCAGGAACGAGGCGACAGCCTCGGCCGGGCCCTGCGGCATCGGGATGTACTCCACAATGCTGAACTTGGGGAACATGTAGCGGTCGCCCGTGCCACCGGCAAATTCAAAGACGACGGCCGACACGTCCAGTAACTTTGGTGCAGGTGGGGGCCCCCGGGAGCGGAGTGCCTGTGAGCTGCCGACGGCCTCCTTGGTCTCTTTCTGGGGTTGGTTCTTGTCAGCAACTTTGGCACCGCCTGTGACTGGTGGCGTTGACGACTGCTCGCGCGGTGCCGCCCCGTTTGTGGCTCCGTTTGTTTTCGCCGTAGCAGCTGCTACGGCGTTGCCGCCCACGGTCGCGTCTGGGGCCTCGGGAACCGCGGCCAGTTTCGCACGCGCCTCGTCCTGCTGGCGCTTCCTTTCCTTCTCCAGGTACTCGTCGAGGTGGACTTTGAGCTTGTCAATCTCATGTTTGAGATCCGTCGCATCAGAGAATTGCGCCTGGTTGTCGGCGATGCGCCGCACCATGCCCCGGACGCGCATATCATCCAGACACTTCTTAACAAGCAGGACTACGAGCTGATCGCTGCCTTCCGGTGGCACGAGGTTAAAAGCCTTCTGCTTCGGGTTGCTACGCAACACAATGTCCAAGATGATCCGAACTTCTTCGGCAAAGAATCGAACCGTACGGCCATCGACAAACAAGCGGTCGGCCGACGGTCCGTCTGCCGCACCCTTGCGCTTGTTCTCTTCTGTGATCTGGTTGATGATGGCTTGAAACCGGTCGAGCTCGTCCTTAGGCGCCTGGCCATTTGCTACGCGCGTCATCATATCCCGAAGCTGCGGGTCGTGCGCAGCCCGCTGAGCCAACGTAACGATAATTGAGTCGGTTCCCGGTGGAGGCTGTGCCGCACCTGTCCGCGGCGTAGTGGGCGCGGGACTTGGGCTCGGCCGTGGGGCGGTAACAGGTGCTGGAGGCACAGAAGGTGGCCGTCCCACAGGCAGAGGAGGCCCAGGTGCCGGGTACATGGACGGGGGCGCTAGTCTCGGTGATGGTTGCTGCACGGATGTGGCCTCAACACTCCGGGGCGAAGGCGTCGGTTGCGGTGGAGCCCAGGACGGTGCCACTGGCGATGGCTGCCCGGCACGCATTTGAGCCAGGGCCGTAAGCGGAGGAGGTCGCTGGGTCACGCTCGGTGGACGAAGGACAGAGCTTCCCGCTGACGGTGTTGGCGGCTGGGAAGGTGCTTGTATAGGCGATTGCAGCATCGTGCCTGGCCCTTGCTCCGTCTTAAGGGGAAGTGATGGCTGTCTTGGCGATTGTGTTTGAGCTTGACTCTGGGCCTGTGCTTGTGCTTGTGCTTGTGCTTGTGCCTGAGCTTGAGCTGTTGCTGACATCGGTGTTGGCGCTGGCGCTAGTGCTGGTGATTGATGCGGTAATATCTGCTGGGGTGTGACAGGTATGGCTTGTGGCGTCGGGGCCAATACAGGTTTCTGGTCGGGAGTGGCTGGCAAGGACGCGGTGGGAGGTATCGGTGTTCGTGGTGCTGGGCTTTGTGAGGGCTGCTTTGGCTTCCGGGGCTTTCGCTGCTTCGGTTGGGGCGTTCCTGGTGCCGATGGCGGTGGCATTGTGCCGCGTGAGGGTCCGTACATGAGCACAGGTCGATTGGCGGGTAGCGCCGCTGCCGGCTTGGGGTCGCGCACGCCATACATTGTGGCCTCGAACGTGTGTGGCTCAACGGTGATGAGCACCTGCCCGAGCTTGACCATGGAGTCCTTGGCCGGGTTCTTGGGGTCATCGGCGGCTACACCGCGCCGTTTCGAGGGCTTGACCCAGTACCTTTCAAAAATGCCTTCGTTGATCCACTTGCTGCGCGACCGGGCGAGCGATTCGGCGAGGACACCACTATGTAACTGGGTTAGTAAAATGCCCCCCCAAAAATCCTAATAGGCTTTGACCTCAACATCGACGAGACGTGGACCTACCTCTCTTGCACACTCTGGTATTCCGTCTTAGGGAGGTCTTCCGGCTGTGCTTTCTCGACGGTCGGCAGGGGCTTTCCTGGATTGATCGATCGCGGGAGCCGTATGCGCTGCGGTGTCGGGGCGGCCGCCTCGGGCTCAGGCGGCTGATTCTCGTCTTCGGCCGCATTGTTGCCTCCAGAGGGCGTGGCTGACCGCGTTGTGCGGCCATCGATGGGCGGCGTCGACGTCCTACGCTTGGCGGCTTGCTCGACACGTGCGGCGGCGCGTGGTGGGATCTTCCTCTTGCGCTCCATCGTGACAAGCGTGTCGATTCTGTGCTGGCTCGTGTCTTCGTCCGAACGTCCTGTTTTCTCTTTCGGCCGCCAACTCCTGTTGGCGCTTCTCAGATGAGACAGGGCGACGGCGTCGATGCGGTCATATCACGACCATCGGTTGGGGGGGAGCGTGGGCTCGGGGAGACGGGAGTGAGTGTTGGAGGTTTTTGAGAAGAGTCAATGCATTCCAAGCTACAAAACTGGGAAAGGACAACAGGCCGGCTTCTCGCGTGTTTGTGTTTCGTTAAATTTCGTTGGGACGAGGTCGACCGCTGGAGGTGCGGTGGGCAAAGAAAGGCGGAGAAACAAAAACGCGAGGGCGAGGCAAGGCTCGCGAGAAATGCTGAGAAACACTGGTAGTAAAGGTCGCTAAGAAAATCGCACGCGACGAAGCCCTCCTTGGGGCGTTTGAGACCGTGGTCGGTAATAGCGTATAGAGCGGAGATATTCTGTACTCCGTAATAGCGTGAATAATATGCGTGAGACGGCGTCAGCGTGGGTAGGCGGGAGGAGAAGGGCGAGCCCTGCGCTAAAAAGCCAACGGCAGGCGGGAAGCACCTTGGGAGACTTCGCAATAGCCAACCAGCGAGTGCAGCGCGTTCATGAGGCTGGGCCGTTGTGCACGCAGGTGGACGAGAGTTTTGAATGCATGGAGGAATAGGGGATGTAATTTCGTGATGCTTTCTTATTCGAGAGAAAGTACGTCGTAGGAGTGAATTGGGTCCGGCTAGCCAACGAGCAGCCACGCAATGTCCTTCGTCGCACCTGCCTTGACAATGAATGCTCTCGTTTGTCAGCTTCAGGCAGGTGCGGCCTTCCACCAGATCGTAAACGGCAATAGTGCAGCTGCAAGATGCCCGACTTTAGAAGAGAGGAAAGCGTGGGCAAGAGCGACGATACATGCACTCTTCGCAACCGGCTTTGGCGGTGTATTGTGGGGGCTGGGAGCAGAGCTAGCCAATAGTGACCCCTGATTTACTCTCCTGCCCCACATGTGCTGTTCACCCCTGGTCAACACGCTGTAAGATGCGTTTTTGTTGACAATGTGAGGGTCGTGCAAGACAACGCGCACGCAGAGGCACGCACGGCTGACGACGTAACAGATCGGCCATAAGGCGGCACATCAAACGAATCAGGACCTGGTCCTGTAGCATGTTGGACATCTCCGATTGCGCAAAAGTAGATGCGCCACAAGCGAACCGGAGCACAATAATTAGCAGCCAAAGCGGCTGACCAATATGCTTTGCATCTCGATCATCCCGTTACGAGCTCGACTTGTACGACCCCACGATCGAGAGCTAGCAACTCCAGGGGACATGTCGACGTACCGCGAGTTGTTGGAGATCGGTACGTACATGATGTATACTGTATATCGTACATGAGTAAGAACGGCAATTCTCGATATCGGGTGAACAGAGGTATACACACAGCACTGGTACCGTAAAGCGGGGCAGACAGCCTCGCGGTTTCCTGCCACACAGCTCCTCACTGGTGGGATGCTCTTGCCTTTCAATATGCGGCATCCCATCGCGCTTTCCCGCCACGACAGAAACAGCGGCGCACTTGCCTTTTGTGATTTGGTTGCATATGTCTTGTATATATCGCGATTTGTTTGGATATATTTGGCCGCTTCGATGCGTCTCCTCTACCGCCATGCGGCCTGGGCTGTCGGCGCTCCCCTCCTCTCCTATGCAGCCGTCATCATGATAGGCGTCACCCCCTTTGTGCAGCGACAGTAAGTGGATGTCGTCACGTCGTCGTATTGAACTCCATCCTCTCCGACGTTCCCACTAACACGGCTCAAGTATCCTATACGCTCACAAATTATATCAATGGTGGCAGAACTCTGATTTACCCCAGAACTGGGGCTTCGCTCGTGAGCTCCCTTTATTCTTGCGTGGCAGTATATCTTGCTTTCTCACACTCACATCCTGCAGGGAACCAAGTCACCTCGTTCCACCTTCCGACGGAAGATGGCGAGTCAATTCACGCTTGGCACGTCCTGCCTCTCCCCGCGTATCGCCAGCACCACGAGGTCCTCGAGATGCAGCCGACCGGTCACTGCGACGACGTCACAACTTCGGAATCGCTTCGTATCCTCAAGAATGACCCCTCGGCCAAGCTGATCGTTTACCGTATGTCATCAGCCCTGCTGCATTCTTGTATGATATGTTTTCTGCTAACGCTTTCAACCAGTTCACGGCGTACGACCTCCCCAATTGTCGTCTTTGGTCAGTGACTGCTACTATTCAGATCAATGCTAACACGTATTAGAATGCCGGCCATCTCCCGAGCGTTGTTCGCGCACCGTCTTTCCACATGTACACGGCCACCAGCAACTACCACGTCCTCGCCATTGACTACCGTGGCTTCGGCACCTCCACGGGGAGTCCCACAGAAGACGGCCTTATCCTGGATGCTTATGCGGCTCTCCACTTTGCTCTCGACACGGCAGGACTCTCTCCGGACCGCATCATCATTTTGGGCCACAGTCTGGGCTCTGCCGTGGCTGCTGGTGCTGCGGAGCGCTATGCAAGGGTCCACGGCATTGACTTTGCCGGACTGATCATGGTCGCAAGCTTCAGCAACCTGTCGGACATGCTTTCGGGCTATGCTATCGCCGGCCTCGTCCCCATCTTGAAACCCCTACGCTCCTATCCGCGTGTCCTGCGCCTGGTCCTTGGCTGCCTCGTGGACCACTGGGAGTCGGCCAAACGTCTCCGCAACATGGTCAGCATTGTGCATCGCAGCAACACTGAGGACGACAGGGACAAGAAGGCCAAGAAGGCCAAGAACGGTCCAAGCGACAATCCGCGCCGGCACCTACAGATCAGCTTGATCCACGCAGCCGACGACAATGACATTCCGTGTATAGAAGACGACAGGATGTTTGCGACCGCCATTCTCCCGCTTATCCCCACCGAGAATGGTGAGGAAGTGACACCTGCCGAGCTCATAACGCTCAAAGAGAAGCGGACCAAGCACTTGGGCAAAGGCGCATTCGTGTCCGAGTGGCGGGAGGGCCATGTGTGCATCCGGCAGGAGCGCTTTCCACACGGTGGTGAGTTTCACGGAATATTGACTCGAATAATTTCGAATGCATGCTAATCAACACAGGCCACAATAACATAGTGCTGCACCCACCCGTCCTACTCGAAATGATGCGCATCTTTGAAGAGGCAGCCCGGCGTCGCAAATGATACAGAGGTGGCATACACGTTTGAAAGTCCGTCCTAGACGTATTAGAACAATAGATATAATCAACTTTTAAAGGTGAAACTCATGTTCGTAATCAAAACTTGCTAATAGTGCAAAAAAAAGTAGAAAATCCAGACGATTTTACAACGCACTCCTATTACAAAAGAAAATTATGGCAGTTCAAGTTCATAAATGCTCTACACGCTCACCCAAACACAAGCAATCACTCGTCGTCACTAACAGTCCCCACCCCAGCCGAGCTGCCGGTTCACACTGTTCATGGCAGTAATGCCTGCACGCACAAAGCCGAGCGCACCGTCAACGGTCGAATTGCCCGTCGACTCAAAGGTCGGCTCCGCACCCTCGGCCTGCCGGAGATCGTCTTGATCCAAGGTGCCCTGCCGCTTGCCCAGCACGGCCTTGGTGATGGCACGCGCCCACATGTTGTACCACTGGTCCTCACTCAGGCTCACATACTCCTTCCGGCCCTCAGGCGTGGTCCGCGAGAACGGCCAGTCCACCGTCACGACCTCGTAGCTCTTGGTGGCGAAAAACAGATATGGCCATGTAAAGAGGATCATGAGTGTCAGCACGCACAACGCCTGCACCCACTTCATCAGGCGCCACCGGTTGAAGCGGTGGTCGCTGTACATGACCAAGCCGACCTCATCCGTAGGGAAGGTGACGGCCAGGTGGCCGCGGTAGTTGGTGCGGCGCACCAGCGACTCCATCTGCGTTTGCACCTTTTTGTAGTCAAAGCCCACCATCCGGCGCTCGAGCGTGAACGACCGCAGCTTGGCGGGGTCCTCTGTGTAGCGGCGGCACCAGTCCTTCAACGTTGGCTTGTCGTCGTCGCCGTCCGCGGTGGTGGCGGCGTTGCTCTCCGGGTCCTCGGGCAGACGCGGGGGACCCGAGGCCGCCGGTGCCTGACACCGGAACACGGTGCCACGCCGGACCTTATCACGGTTCTCCGGCGTCCGCAACGTCCGCCACGACTTGTACGTCACGGCGTCAGAAAACAGGTACGGCGTCAGCTCGACCTTGACGTCAAAGTCGACCACGTCCCGCGTCTCCTTCTTGCCGTTGTGGTCCACGGTCTGCTTGTGCTTGCCGACCAGCTGCACGTACGGCCGGGGCGGTGCCTGGGCCCAGCGCGTGGCGGCAACGGCCAGCGCTTGTGCAGGGTCCTCTGTGCCAAAGTGGCCAATGTCGTAGCGCCACTTTTGGGGCTCGCCCTCCACGTTGGACGGGTAGCGGAAGCGCCCGTTGCTCGGTGCGCCGGAAGATCTGCCGCCAGCCGCCGAGCTGCCCTCGGTTTCGCCATTCCCTGCCGAGTCGTCCGCGTTCCCGCTGACAACGTCCGTGTACAGCGGCGGCATGTCGTCGCCGTCGAGGAACAGCTCGGGTGCATCTTCGTCGGCATCGAGGAAGGCGGCGTGGCTGCTACTACCGTGCGTCGAGTGCAGCGACACAGCGTCGCCGTCGGGCCGCAGCAGCGGCGACGAGCCTGGCTTGCCTTTGACCATTGTGGTGCTTGGGGAGTGAAACTCAAAAGTGGATTGTGCGCCGATCGACGAGGCTGAGGCCACGAGATGGATAGGTTTGAATCAACAAATGAACCGGATTCGAAAAGGAGGCAATCCAGTGATGGACGTAGTGAAAGGGAAGACAGGACGTTGAGGAAAACAAATACGACAGAAGCAGGGTGGACGTGACTTTGTAGAAGAAGGGACAAAGAAGAAAAAAATAAAATAAAAATAGCTGACTTCTCTGACAGGGAACACCCTCTGCCACGGACCTTTTTTCTGGGGAAGGGGGCGTTTACAAATGGGTCGCCGGAATCAGTGCCCGAAAGAGATCAAAAGCGACGGCACACCACAGAAAAGATACGAAGGGGTGATCCTTCGGTGTTTTGTCTTTTGCTTGGCTGTTCTGTCTATTGGGCGGGAATGCAATCCCAGGTTGCAACAAAAAACATGCGTCTTCGCAGCAAATAGGCAACAGCGGCGGAGCACAGCCCAATTGCACGATAGCGGACTGCTTAGTTTTTTAGGGGCGCTGGATAGCTGAGAGATAGTGGGTAAGGAGCGGGTTTCGGCATCATGTGGGCCGGCCTAGGCCCTTAATCCAGCTGCTTTTTTCCCTCTAGCTTGCCCCTGTGGCTAAAAATACAGCGGGTTGTCAAGTCACCCTTACACGTGATACCGCATTGCAGGAATGAGAGGTGGCCCAAATAGGAATTCTCTGCGATCCAAAGCGAACGTGGAAGTGTGAGAATGGAACTTCTGACCGAAGGACCACTCGATGAGATATAGCTCTGTCAAGAATTACATAAAGCTACTGGAATTATTGGTTGACCACGACACATTGAAGTAAACAGATCCGTTGATGCATTCTAAAGCTATTGTCAAGTCCGGAGCCTCGCAACTCACATGGATCTCTGTATGCGTACTATTTTACATCCATTGATTACTATTGAATACTTTAGATGTTTATCGCCGTACAGTAGCAGCGTTATGTCCTACCCCCTCAAACTGAAGTGTGAGACACCGAGAGTCGCCTCAGACTATACCTCAAAAGTACCATTCTTTTAAAAGGCTTGCCATGTCAATGGCTATGTCTTTGGTCCTTACGAATTACAGTGCATCTCATACGCCAAGACAATATTCAACACGTTCAGAGCAGTCCTAAATACTTGCTGCCAATCGAGTAGAAATACTACTCCCAAGTAATAAGGTCACAGCCTCAAGCGACACACGTGACCTCGACTCTCAACCGAAACTGGTAGCGAGCTTTCCCCCAGTTTTAAGAAGCTGTCGGCGGGGTATGGTTGTTGGGGGGTTTGTGCGCCAGGAATTACGGCAGGCGCAAATCGTGCGACCAAGCCTAGACCGGCAAGGAAATCTGCAACGTCTCGAAAAGCTGCGTCGCCTTGTTTTGGCTCGTGACACTCTCTCGAGGCCGAACATTATTTTATATATTTTCTGCGTCCAATTTAAACGACTACCTTGCCCTCCAACCAATCTCCGGCACATACCTACCTTGCAACGACCTACAACCACCTCTGGGCTACCCCACCATGGCTGAGGACGCAAAGCCGGACGCCTTGAGCGAGATCCCCTCCAATGGGAAGGGCAAAGAGGTGGCCGACGCCTCCGATGACGAGGGCGGCTCCGACGACGAGACACATGCCCCCGATGCCTCCACAGCAGCAGACGCCGGCAGCGCACCAGCAGCGGGAAGCGGCGGCAAGAAGAAGAAGAACAAGAAGAAGAAGGGCAAGGCGGCCACACTCGCCGATGCCGAGTCGCAGCTGAAGAAGACCATCTCCAGCCTTCCGGCCGACCAGGTGGCCGAGCTGCTCAAGCTCAACCCCGCGATCTCGCAGGAGATTGCCGACAAAGCGGGCGCCTCCGCATCGACGGCCAGTGGCAGCGGCAGTGGCGGCGGCGGCGGTGGCGAAGGCGAGCCGAAAATCAGTGCCGAGGCCGCCCTGGCCGCGCTAAAGCGGATGAACCTGGCCGAGATCATGACGGGCATGGCTGCCAGTGGCAAGAACGCAAAGGACATGGCGAGCTACAAGTTCTGGCAGACGCAGCCCGTGCCCAAGTTTGGCGAGGACGAGGCCGGCGCCGGTAAGAAGAAGAGCGTGGCCGAGGGCCCGATCCAGGCAATGACAGTCGACGACGTGCCCAAGGAGCGGCCACCCCTGGTGGACGGCTTCGAGTGGGACACGGTGGACCTGACCGACGACGTGCAGCTCCAGGAAGTGTTTGATCTGCTTATGGGCCATTTCGTGGAGGACGGCGAGGCCATGTTCCGCTTCCGCTACTCCAAGTCGATCCTGAAGTGGGCCATGATGTCGCCCGGCTGGAAGAAGGCGTGGCACATTGGCGTGCGCGCCACGCAGTCGCGCAAGCTCGTGGCCTTCATTTCGGCCATCCCGCTGGAGCTGCGCGTCCGCAAAGCCGTGCTGCACGCCTCCGAGGTCAACTTCCTGGTCATCCACAAGAAGCTGCGCTCCAAGCGCCTGGCACCCATCCTGATCAAGGAGATTACCCGCCTGTGCAACCTCGAGGGCGTCTGGCAGGCGCTGTACACGGCCGGCGTGGTCCTGCCCAAGCCCGTCAGCACCTCCCGCTACTACCACCGCTCGCTCGACTGGCAGAAGCTGTACGAGGTCGGCTTCAGCCCGCTGCCGCCCAACAGCAAGCCGCAGTTCCAAGTGCGCAAGTACGCGCTGCCCGACCGCACCAAGACCAAGGGCCTGCGCGACATGGTCGCCGGCGACATTGCCGCCGTCCAGGACCTGCTGACGCGCTACCTGCAGCGCTTCGACATGGCCATGGAGTTTACCAAGGAGGAGGTTGACCACTGGCTGCTCGACAAGCGGCTGCCGGGCGACGAGCAGGTCGTGTACACGTACGTCGTGGAGGACGACAAGACCAAGAAAATCACCGACATGTTCTCCTTCTACTGCCTCGACTCGTCCGTCATCAACAACCCGCGCCACAACGTCATCCGCGCCGCCTACCTCTTCTACTATGCGACCGAAACCGGCCTCACCACGCCCTTTGACAAGCCCGCGCTCAAGCTGCGGCTCAACGAGCTGATGAGCGATGCGCTCATCCTGGCCAAGAAGAACCGCTTCGACGTGTTCAACGCGCTGTCCATCATGGACAATGCACTGTTCCTGGAGCAGCAAAAGTACGGCCCCGGTGACGGCCAGCTGCACTACTACCTGTTCAACTACCGTGCCGCCCAGATAGCCGGTGGTGTCGACCGGAACAACCGGCTGGACGAAGACAAGCTGAGCGGAATTGGCTTTGTGATGATGTAACGGACGTGCAGGAAAGCGGAAAAGAGTCATTAAAACAAAAGGCAAGCACGGCGTTCCTACAGTGTTAATCATAGCATGTTCGTCCTAGCGAGCGTTTTGCGTTCAAAAGTCTTTGGAAGAGCAATGGTAGACGAGAACGGAGGACAGGAGATGCTTGGGTTTGGAGAGAAACGCCTTCAAGCTGACGTAGTATTACAATCATCACCACGAGTACGAAGTACAATCAGCATGCAATGCCAGCGGGAGTCTTAGGTCTAGAAAGTCTAGAAACAGAGGGTCGTAAAATACATAATCAAAACGTCGGTTCCTTTTTCAAATCCGTTTTTGTTTCGGCTCTCACCTCACCTTCCTCCTCCCTCCACCCTCCGTCTATTCCTTGGCCCGCCCGGCCATGACCTCGCCGTTGTGGAAGTGGTCCGTCAGCGTCTGGTTGTACCAGTCACACCGCTCGACCAATGGTGCGTGGCCCATGCCCTCGACAATGTGCGACTGCGCCGGCTGGATGGCCTCAATCAGCTTGCGCCCGTGTGGGACCGAGATCATTTCGTCGGCGGTGCCGTGGATGATCAGGATGCGGCGCCGGTCAATGGCGTCGCCCATGGCGGCCAGCTGTGCGGCCGACTTGTGGTGCCAGCCGCAGGCGATGAGCTGCAGCAAAAAGCCCTTTGTGGAGAACCGCGGGTCGTTGCGCTTATGCATTTCCTGCGCGACAAACCGCTGGTAGTTGCTGTCAAACGTACGGTACCATGTGGCCGGGTCCTTGGCATACGCCTCGGCACTGCTCGTTGTCTGCTCGGGCAGGGCTATGGTGTCGGGCGGGATGGTCTTGTCAGGCGTGTACAGATGGCGCAGCGGCGGGCCGACAAGGTGTGTGCCCGGCACGGGGAGCGTCACGTTGTCCGGCCCGGTCAAGAACTTGTCGCTGAAGATGCGTCCCGCCGTGCCCCGGACGCTCTCTTCGACGCCCTTGGGGATGATGAGCGCAGCACGGCTCGCCAGGTTCTCCCAGATGCTGGCAGACGTGTTCTCGATAGCAGAGGCCGTGCAGCACAGGGCCAGCGAGGCGACTTGGTTGGGGATGAGGCAGGCGAGCTCCTGGGCGACCATGCCGCCCATGGACAGGCCGACCACGTGAACCGAGCGGCCGTTTTCGGCGGACTGGTTGACAAACCCGACGTGCTCCAGCACCTCGATGGCGTCGAGGGCCATGTCCTTGGTGGTGTAGCGCATCAACGGTCGGTCCGAGTCGCCCATGCCGCGGTTGTCGAGCAGCAGGACGGAGTAGTCCTTGTACCGCTCGTGGCCAAAGTACAGCGTCTGGCGCTGCCAGGCCGTCTTGAAGGACCCAAGGCCCATGATGAACTAATATTGTTAGCAGTCGATCCATAAAGCCATTCACAGGATCCATGTGCGACAATCGGACATACCACTATCCTGATGGGGCCCTCGCCGTGGACCTCCCAGCCAATGCGCAACGGCCCACCCCGGCCGGCAGCCACGGGAAGCCGCCCACTACGGGTGGGCTGCAGGTTCCATGTGGCGTCCGGGTAGGACGGGTGCCTGAGCGTCTCGGCGACAGTGGTGACTTTGGTGAGGTCGACCATTGCGGGAAAGGAAGACTGCGGTCGTGGGTTGTTGTCGTCTAACGGCCTCGTTAGACTGGAGTATCCGCAGTCATATGCCTATATTTTTAAACTTAATTGAGCAGACCGGGTTAGGTCTCGTGCCGTGTCTTTAGGTACGGCAGCTGTCTGCGCACGTCGTCTCCTCGATTGCCTATTTTTCGTTGAAATGCTTCAAAAGATCAACCAGTCGGGGCAACGAGGTGATTCAGCGAAGTAAAATGAGGGAAGGAGATGCAACAGGAGGAGAAAGACAAAAGAGTTGCGTAGGAATGAGGTGTAGGGAGGAGTTGGTAGAAAATAGAGTACGTAGGAGAGCTCGTTATAAAAATGCTGTATTTCCGGGAATGGAATACGTGACGAGATGGACACCGGAAGGCACGCTCGCAAGATATCGCCGGAAAGGCTGAGTGCTGCGAGGGAAGGCACTCTTGCCCAGCCTTACTCCTGACATACCCATCTAGATGTGCGGTTGCCGAGGCATAGCAGTAGCCCCTGTGACTGTTAGGAAACGACGGCGAAGGCGCTAGCTGACGCGTGCGACTACCTATAATTTGGCAAGTTACAGTGGAAGGTCTGCGGTATTTTTTCGAGCTAGGCAGAAACAATAAGCTATGCTGAAACTGGACTCAGTGCAACAGTCACTAAATACCACAGGTTTCAAATTGAGCGTTGCAAACGAGAACGACTACCAGTGACATTGGACCCGGAGGTCCGAAATCCATGAAAACGAAGTGTGTAAACATGTCTCGAACACTGATTCTAATGAAACTCAAAAGAGCTCAAATCATCCGAGAGTCTGGACTTGTAGTGACATTATGACATCCTGATGACTTTGGCGGTGATATGACCACGTGACCATGTCTCCACAATTCCGCCCATACGATATCTATGGTCGAATATCGAAAAAAATCGGGAGAGCTTTTCAACCTCAACGGCCGGACGACTCGAGGACCGGACGACATCGGTTCACCACCCTCGTCAGTACCGATTCAATTGCACGCGTCACGACTTCATACGTGCATCCACATACACACACCATGCCGATTGCACGGATTGCACGGCTGCTGGCGCCGGCCTCTGTGCGCGCCGCGGCGGCTGCCTCCACCTCCTCTGCAACCACATCGACACGCTCGGTCTCGTCCCTGACGACGGCCATGTCGGCACTCCGCGTGCAAGCCAGCGCACCCAAAGTGCAGCAGCAGCAGCGCGTGTTCTCGCTCGTCGCCGGCTCGGCCACGCGGCCGACCACTGCTGCCACCTCCGCATCCACCTGCCAACACAAGCACACCCCCGGCAACACCCACACCCACACGCACGTCGTCGGCCACGGCCGCCGGCAACAGGTGCGCGGCATGAAGGTGCACAGCTCGGTGAAGAAGCGGTGCGAGCACTGCAAGGTGGTGCGGCGCAAGGGCGGCAAGCGGCATAATGGTTACATGTACATTGTCTGCTCGGCAAACCCGCGGCACAAGCAGAGACAAGGTTGAGAGGATGGACGACAAGGAGAGAAGAGGGAGGGAAGACGACCTTGTACGATACCATGAGATGGAGGGCCAAATACTCAAGGGGAGAAATTGGCGTCGTATATAGACACCGGGATACATATACACATGATCAGCACAAATTTATGCAGCAAAACGGATCTACGGCGGTCTTCACAAGACTTTTTAAATAATTGCACATACACTGTGGGTCATACTAAAGTATCAAATAGCCATGTATTCCAAGTAGTGGCAGGTCCATTTTGTTTTAAAGAGGCTGCCCTACATCCCGCCAATATACCGCTCTGTGTTCTGCCACTCAGTTTTACCCGTTGAGATCAGGTAGCGGATATGTGTCTTGCAGGTCAGCAAGGTCAGCATTGTATTGCACGGGGTCCATGTAAGAACACTGAGAGGCACTCACCAAATCCGTCACTCCGCGGTGCCGCTCAAACTCTTCTCGCGCAAAGCGACGTGTCTCGGCGCGCGTCGTCGGGTCGCTGATCTGCCGGGTCCCGCGCACAATCGTCCGGTACAGCGCCAAGGCCCGGGACCGCTGCAGGAAATGCTCCAGGCTCAGGGTCGTCTTGCCGCCAATCCGGGAGGTGCGGATAGGGCCGGCAGCGCCCGTTGTATACGCACGAGTGGCAGCGGACGAAACCGACACCGAAACCGGGACGGAGATGGTTCGTATCGCAAGCCGGAGGCCGGCGAGGCGGTGCATGGCGCTCGGCTATGTGCCCAGGTCTAGCTTGGCGGTGCTATTTTGTGCCGGCCGTGGGCGTCATTGACTTATCCTGGCTTGGTCATTTATTGTCGCCGTATGTTGTATTATGTCGTCGACTTATGTCGTTGGATTTCTCAGCCTTTCGCTTTTCTGCCGAAATGCACTGAATTCGAGCGGTAGTGGTTGGCTAGGGTGGAAATGCCCTGTATTACATCCGGCTCCAGTGACGGCGCCCCACACCACACACCATTGCGATATCCAACGGTCTGTTGGAGCGTCAAACCGGTGCGACCACCAACAGCAACCAACACAAGGCTGCGAAAAGTTGCCAATCACGCCACTGTCCCTTTCTCTGACTGAGTGTCATACCCTACTGTCAATTGGGTCTAAGCGCAGATACAGGGTGGGATTAGGGGGGGGACTCGATCTCGGGCGCGGCCACGGGACAACGCCGAGTCGCGTTCGAAGTCAACATCGTGTCAAGTCGCGTTTCGCGATCGAGGCTGGATCGCGGGCCCAGCTGGGCTTAAGAAATCACGGCCCGTGAGCCTCAAACCGGGCATGGCCATTTTAAAACGCCGGCGGGCCGTGACAAGCCCAATTGATACGGCAAACAAGAAATCTGACGCCGAGTTTGTCAAAGACTACCTCGAGCTGGAGTAAGTCCAGCGGCATACATACTTACATAATATCACATATATGCACTTGTTCCCACCTCTAACCCACAGGGTTCCCAACACAATACCGTGGAAAACCTCCTGGACACGCCCGGGCACCAGCGAAGTATACAGCATCCGCTTAGCACGGCCGGCCAACTTGGACGAGGCAACGCTCGAGGCTTGTTACACTCTCATTGAGACTACCAGCCGGGGAGATTATGAGGCCTCGAAGCTCAGGTGGCGGCCCGACCACAAGCGGCAGGAGATGCGGTTGCCAGATTTGCGATACATTATTGTGCGGCGCGTCGGGCACGGCGGCAGTGTCAGCGAAACCCAGGAGGTGAACCAAGCCGACGAAGCTACCAATGAAAGCGACAACAGCAACAGCGGCAACAACGGCACCATAGACACAGATCAGACCGCAGCAAGCGCAGAGGACGTATGCGCCTTTACTTCGTTGATGCCGACATACGAAGAGGGCCATGCCGTCGTCTACTGCTACGAAATTCACGTATCGCCCAGTCTCCAGGGCTCCGGCCTCGGCCGTGTGCTGCTCGGCTTCCAGAGCATCGTGGCTCACAACCTGGGCCCCCCCGTCGAAAAGGTCATGCTGACGTGTTTTTTATCCAACGAGCGCGCACTCCGCTTCTACAAGCACGAGGGCTTTATGACGGACGCGTCGGCGCCGACGACGCGCCGGTTGCGTCGCGGCAAGACGTTTGTGCCGGACTACACGATTCTGAGCAAGGCAGTGGAGCGGTGATGTATGATACGGTGGCCGGCAACGATGATTTCAGTGTGGGAAGGAGAACGAAGCACTACATATTACGATACATGTATCTTACGTCGTTCTTACATTCGTACTCCATTTTATATCATATGGGCACATGCCTTGCCAGTGCAGTAGAAACGGCCGCACGTTGCAATAGGTTGCCGCAGTTGGAAGGTCACGGCATTTCAAAAGAGCGGGCCACCCAGGACAAAAGACCAGGACAAGTGACAGGGTGCTTGTTTGAGACCATGAGGTTCCCAGGCCACGGTTCAGCTGCTGTGGCTGTGCACCATTTGGGGGACAACGCAGATCTTTGCCAGCCATGGCAGGCTCGAGCCACCTCAGGAGCTCAGGTACGCACTGGCAAACTCTGGGTCGGGCAGCTTTCCCGCGCGTCCAACTGCTCTCCATCTCGCCGCTTCTCTCCAAAATTTTGTACTGAAAGTCCTTGAAAGAAACTCGGGAACTCAGGCAGAGTGAAGCAAATGAAGGGATAAACATGTATTCATGACGAAAGTTATAGATGCTCTCAGGACATTTCGTAGTAGATAAATCCCTTCAGCGCAGTTCACACAAGCAATCTTTGTACAAAACGAGTCCCCACGTTGATCGACACTTTTGTTGGACGGAGAATTTTGGCCGACCAGTGAGATTCGGAAACGCAAAAGTTTGCGGCTCTAGTAGTTGCGAAATTGTACGAGAAATACGACGTAGGTCCAGAACTGGGATCGATGACCAAAAGTCAAGGCCAAAAAGGGAAAACGACGTGGTGCAGTCAGCCTATCCATGGCGACTGAAGAGGAAAGATTGCCTACCGATCGACACGACGAGAACAGAGCACAGACAGGACAGTGAGAAAAGCAGATCCAAAATGGATAGGAAGGAAGAAGGAAAATAGGGAAGAATGATCAAAGGTCCAGAACAAAAGGACTCTGGCTCGACCCTCGAAATGCTGGTAATTCTAAAGAGGATCGGTTCCTTCATCAGATTAGGCGGAAGAATGAAATAGCAATTCGGAGCAGTAATACTCCGTACACAAACCAGGCCATGATCCAGAAAGGAATATACATGAATCAAAAAAAAAATAAGCGATCGAGGGGGCCAAGAGTCGCGTCGCATAGTCATATCACGACGCGTTAACGGGGCACAGCGAGCACTGAAAGCGGTGTGAAATGTATGTTTTACTCTCTCTTGCCGTTGAGCCGTTTCCATGTTCATGCGTTGTGTCTGCAACGTACACATGCAAAATACAATGGATAGAAACGGCCTCAGGCTCGTGTTTGGCATGCAGTGAGCCAGAAATTGGGATCAAACACGAGACGATATGTTTACTCATTAGTGCCACACACGACTTCGTTTCCCATATTGGGTCACCACCGCGAACCCAATCTCAGTGCGTCGCAATTACAGTTGCCATGCCTAACCAGTGACTTGCATGCCCATTCCTTGCAAAGACAATCCGTTTGGAACCCGCCGAAACAGGTCGCGGACGGCGCGTTAAGAGATTGCTCAGCCCTGAAAGGATGGGGGCCAGAGGATGGAACACGAAAAACAGACGCAAACACGCCCCTCGGGTACTGTTGGCAGCCCCATGAAACGCTACGACGCGGCAAGGCCTTGATGGTTGCCAGGCATGGGTGGGTTGCGTTCGTGGAAGAGTGAGTGTTGTGCGGGAGAGAGCCATTACTGTTAGTGGCATCAACACTGCCTATCGAGGTCACCATCAGGGCAGTGCCAACAGTCAACAACCGACAGGAAAGTGGCCCCACGCCATGACTAGTCCCTGCAAGTCCACTTTCCCAGTAGCCGCACCACACTAGCGGGTGCCACTTTGCAAGCTCAGCCCAGAACAAAAAAAATAGGTTAATCTGAAATTAACAGAGTTCTCCCCAAAACGCCCAGAGTAGCTCCACAGTCCTTTGAAGAAAAGTCACATTTTCACAACCAGACGATGCAGGGAAGCAAGTGAACAACGCAACCCTGGCGTCTTACGACGTGAGTACGCTTGTCAGCAAAGGTCTCTAGACCATTGTGGCCGGCTTTCATAACGTAAAAAGGGTGAAAATGATCATGCAGGACGACATGCGACTCCAAAAAGGATGACAACGAGCCTCAAACTGCATTCAAGCTCAGGAGCTTTCGACACATTCAGTCTGCCGTCCTCTTCGCTGCTTCTGGGCCCTTGCGCTCCGCGCTGCTGGTCTCATGCGGTGGAGGCCAGGTGGCCTGGCTCTCGGGACATGCAACGTCAAAAGATCTGTAGACATGCCGTCGCAGATGTGTGCCATTGGGACAAGCAGCTTTCGAACTCTCGGCACCCATTATCCTGTCATTTCTCATTCCATTTTCTTGCCACGAAAGAGGGGAGGGGTGTCATGTACATTTGTACTTTCGAGTTTTAAACGCGCCTATCGTCTATAACGCGGTCCACCCATCAGTGAAGCAGCGATGGACTTGCCAGGACATAACGTCTCGGCAAGGCTGTTTTTGCAGTTTCCTTTGGGCAACGGCTAGAATAGCTTCGCGCTAAGAAAGCGACTGCGGAGCAAGCAAAGAAACAGGACATCAGCATCTGAGCAGCAACATGGACATCCAGGCGATCGTCGTACGAGTCAGACGGTGAGCAGGCAACTCTTGTCTTTTGACTCCGACAATCGTGGCAGTCCAGAGTATGTGTGTATCTGTGTCCAAAGCTTACCACAAGTACGACCGACGTATCTGGCCAGCCTACTTCGTACTCACGTCCTCAAAATGCACGTGTGTAAGATTAGTACCAAGACTTCTCATGGACGCCGCAGATCTTGGGCTTTGCCAAGGCCTTGCTCGGTCCTGGCAGCTTTTCTCCTATTTTCCCTTGCTATCTCTTTGTGGCTCAGTGCTGTGTAGCTGCTTCCCGTAGTTCAATCCCTTCTTTGTTCCGTATTGGTGAACTTGATGTGTGCCTTTCCAACCCCAGCGACTCAGCCCAGTTGCAGCCCGTCTTGTCCATCCATCCCAGTCGAATCGCACAAATCAAAAAGAGACCACCCATACTTAGGTGCCCCATGCTTAGTTTGTCCCTTTTCTTGGGTCCTTTGCACTTTGCGCTGTTCACAAGTGTCATAAAGATACACATGCGGCCGAGCCCCCTGTCTCCATCGAGCCTATCGAAAGCTGTCCGTCAACGGGAAAGGCGCACTCTGCACACCCTTCCCCCTTTCCTCCTTGCTCTGTTTTTCTTTTGTCTGACACGAGCATTCCTCCTGTCCCCCCAAAGCTCTTTCCACTCTTAATTACTTGAGCGCCCCCTCCTTCCATCTTCTTTTCTATTCTTCTTTCTTGGCTCTTTCCTCTTTTCTTCTTTTCATCTTCCTTCGTCTCCCCTACTTCCTTCCGTCCCATCATCGACGCATCACGTTTCTTTGATCCTCCATCTGACCACCTCACCACCTCACAAACTACACATTACACACAATGGACTACAAGGCTCCGCCGCAGTATAGCACGCCGCCGCCGGGCCAGCAGGCGGTCTACCCGCCCCAGGGCCAGCCTCAGTACGGCAGCCCGTCGCCTCAGCAGGTCCACGCCTACCCGCCTCAGCAGACCGGCGTCGTCCAGTACGGCACGCCACCGCCTCAGCAACACGCCCAGGCCTATCCTCCCCAGCAGCACCCCCAGCAGTTTGCTCCTCAGCAGCATCCTCAGCAATACCCGCCTCAGCAGCACCCGCAGCAGTACCCTCCCCAACAGCATCCGCAGCAGTACCCTCCTCAGCAGCACCCGCAACAGCATCCTCAGCAGCCCCAGCCGCAGCCCCAGCAGCGCGCCATCCAGCAGCAGCCCCAGCAGTATGCGGCCCAGCAGCCCATGCAGCGCGCCGTCGTCGGCGCCGGCCCCGGCGTCGCCAACAAGAGCGAGTGGAACCACAGCCTGATGGACTGCAGCCCGTGCGACTCGTGCTGTCTCGGCACCTTCCTGCCCTGCGTCCTGCTCGGCAAGACGGCCGACCGCATGCGCGATCCCACCATGCAGGGCGCCGACTCCATGAACTCGGACTGCATGGTCTTCCTCGCCATCCACTGCTTCACCGGCTGCGGCTGGATCTACATTATGATGAAGCGCGGCGAGATCCGCGAGCGCTTTGGCATCCAGGGCGACGGCACGGCCGACTGCTGCGCCACCTACTGGTGCCCGTGCTGCTCGCTCATCCAGCAGGACAACGAGGTCAAGACGCGCACGGCACACCTTGTCGCCAATTCGGCCCAGGGCTACCAGGCCCAGCCGGGCATGGTCATGCCCCAGAAGTAAAGAGGCAGGCGCCCACGCGAAAAAGGAGGGGGGAAGACGACGAGGACGACGGATTGTTTTTATTCGCTGCAATGCACTTAATTATACCACGAGGCGGTGAGAGGAAATTGAGGTCATGGAGGACAGAACGGGGGAGCCCTTGCGAAAGGAAGCTATTTTGCTTTTTGGATTTTTTTTGGCCCTATTTCTCCATTGTCTTGGTTCTTTTTTTTTGTTTTTTTTGTTTTTTTGGATACGCTTTGGATTTGGATTTACACTACGTCCCGCTACATGCGATTCTACAAAATACTAATTTCTTTTGTCATTTGCATTCTGTGTCGCGTTTGCTTGACGAGAACAATACAATACGTGCAGGCAAAGCAGAGTGGGGATCGCCGTGTAAGTGCGCAAAGGTTCTTCGCGCGACTAACATCCACAATCACAGTTTCGCGGAGAACAATGCTAAGAGGAGAACATCGAGTCGTCGTTACACGGCCACCACCTTGCCTCGCGATACCCTCCACGCACGAGTGACTTGGGCTTCTTGTTAAAATGTGGCTGTTATCGTTCAGTTGCAACTTCTTTTGCTCTCTTGATGTTCTTTTTCTTTTTTGTCTCTCGTTCAACTTTCTTCGCCTTTACCAGAATCGCGACTTTTTGATATCACTTACGCACTCGTTTGCAGTCGCATTCCGCAGCTTCTTCACCAAAAAGAACATCAACTACTACCCATTGTACAATGATCATCCCCTCCACGACCGGCGACGTGCTTGCGCCCTCGGCCAGTGCCGCCGCCGGCGCCGATGCCCACCCCGGCTCCAGCACCATCAACACCGCCATCACCTCTACCTCCACCACCAACAATGGCAACATGAACGCCCTCACCATGTTCCTCTTCTGGTTCTTCCTGTGCAGCACCGGCGTCCTCGTCGTCGGCTCCGTTGTCGTCCTGCGCCGTCTGCGGCTGCGCGAACAGGCCCGCCGTGCCCAAGAAGCCAAGACGGCCGCGGCCACGTCCACCGCAACTGCGGCGCACGTCAAAGAGATGGACGAGGACAGCAGTGTGGGCGGCTCGGCTTTCACGCCGGCGCCAGTCCTGGTAGGTCTTTCATTTCGTTTTTTCGTTTCCTTCGTTTTTGTCTACCATGTTGAGCGCCGCTAACAGACAGCCCAAGTTGACTGGCACCACCCGTGTCGCGTCGGCCTGAACAGTCTCTTTGGAACCCTCCGAGACTCGCATTAGTATTGCATGCCACATGTCGGCTGGACCGGCGGCTCGAATGAACTGAACGGGATGGTGTAATAGGTCAAAGATGTGGGCTATCGAAGGAGGCCATGAAATCAGGATGATTACAGAGAAACTGGCGGTGGAACATGTCTAGAGGCTTTCGGGGCTACGATGTCGCCGGACGAGGATTGTCGTGGTGTCCGGCATTTCATATTCGTAGTATTTAGTGAAAATACTATTTTTTTACTTTTGTTTTATTTTCGTTGTTTCGAAACAGTTGTTTGCTTGAAAAAAAAAAGATAAAAAAATAAAAATACCGAAAAACAGCTGCAATAAAATAGTACAAACGCTTGATTCTATTTTAGAACCAATAGTCAGAGAATCTAGGTCGTCTGTAGTAGAGTAGGAAATGCAGAGAATACATATGACGGTAACAAAATGGTGGTAGAAAATAATAAAACAAGAAAGCTAACCGATATACACCAAAAACACTATACAATCGAGGTAACCACAAGACGCGCCTTAGCCCAGAAACAATACTACACTCCTTAAATGGTCTTGGGGCCAGAAACAACAAAAAGATACATCAACCAATATGAAAGATTTAAAAGCCGTATATACCGTATCTCGTACAAAAATTGCACCTGTGCATCTATGCGCTGGCTGCGTCCTTCGCCTCCGCCGGCGCACTTGCAGCCGCAGACTCGGCAACATCAGCAACAACCGGCACATCAGGCTCTGCTGTCCTTTCCTCCGTCGATGGCGCTGCCGGTGTGTCGTCGACAGCAGGAGCCGCTGCTGCTGGAGGCGAGACAGGCGTGGGTTCCTTTGGAGGTGCATCGGTCTCTGCCGCCGGCAGTGGTGGAGATGGAGTTGGCTCGACAGGAGCGCTCTCAGCATGTGTCGAGGTAGGCTCGGGCATGGCTGTGGGCGGCTCCTCAGCAGTCGCTGGGGCCGCATCAGGCTCTTCAGCAGCGGGCGCCGGAGGCGGGGCCGAAGGCGCAGCAGCAATGGCCGGTTCGGGTGCAGGTGCCGGCGCCGAATCGGGCGTCTTCTTCTCTGGGCTTGGCTCGCGCGCGGCTGCCGGCGCAGTTTCTGGTGCAGTTTCTGGTGCTGGTGGTGCCGACGCCTCCTCGGGCTCCGGATCGGCAGCAACCGGTGCTGCTGTCTCCTCGACCGTGGGTGTTGGCTGACGTTCTGGCTCCGGCTCCGCATTGGCAGCACGAGGCCCAGTGGTGGTCTCAACAACAGAGTCTACAGCCATTGACACCGGTGCCGGCTCCGGCACGGCGGGGTCTTCGAAAGCAGGCGCTGTTTCAAGTGTTGGCTCAGGCGCGCTCTGTAGCGGAGGCTCGTCGGCCGTCGCCTCATCCTTGGGCACCTCTGCAGGCGTCTCCTGCAGTTCTGGCTCGGCCGCAGCAGGCTGTTCTGCCGTCTGGTCCAACATCGGCTCGTCTGGCCTCTCCTCGACCTGTTCTGGTTTGCTCTCCGGCTCGGCTGACGGCACCTGTGCTGACTCCTCTTGCGACGGCTGTTCGCCAACCACGTCCTGCTTTGGCTCTTGCTCCGAGCCGGGCTTTGCTTCGAACTGCGGTTGCGCAGGCACGTCGGTCATCACCTCGTCCTTGGGCTCCTCCTTTGGCTCAGGGGCAAGTGACGATTCGAAATCGTCCTTGGGAACAACACTCTCGCTGGCAACTCCTTCGGCTTCCGTGCTTGTTGCAGGCAGGTAGTCGTCACCGACCGGCGGGAGAGGCAGCTGCTGCTCCAGCGACGGAGTTCCTTCTGTTGCGGTCACACCATCCACTGGCGCCACAGCCGCCGCACCTTCGACACCTTCAGCCAAAGGCGCAGCGGGGTCGCCTGGGTTGCCGGCGGCTGCCGCTGCTGCGGCCGAAGCAGCAGCAGCGGCAGCGGCAGCACGGCCGCGATGCAGACCCGGGGGCAGGACGCCCTTCTTGCGACCCCGGCCGACCTTTGGCTTGCGCCGTGGCGGAGGCGCCCGCTTGCGGTTCGGTGTCCCCTGCAGGTCGCCCTGCTGCTGTTGTTGCTGCAGCGTCGGCGGCAGGTCGCGCGTTGAGGCGGGCAGGAGGGTCGTGGACAGGATTTCGCCGTCGACCACGTGCTGCTGGCCATCGGCGAGCGTGACGGACTGCTCGTAGGCGTTGCCCGCGGCATCGAGGCGGCGCACCCTGGCCACGGTAACCATGGGCATGGCGAAGCTGGCGCTGGCCGGCATGCCGTTGCTGTCAGTCAGCTGCTTGGGCGGCAGAACAATGGTGTTCTTGCGGCGCTTGGCAAGATGAGAGGGCATGGGCGAGTCGATGTCGCGGGCCATTTGCTTCCACACTTTGACAGCGTAGCCACTTTCCTTGTCCTTGTTGTTGTTGCTGCTGCTGGCAGTGTTCTTCTTCTTGTCGCTAGCACCGACAGCGCCGTTTGCATGTGCACTACTGCCCGTCGCGCCACCTGCCGCAGCACCGTTGCTTCCGTGGCCTTGTGCACCGTGACCGTGGCCGGCCGTACCTGTGCCAGCCGTTTTGCCAGCCACGCCTGACGCCCCATTGGCAGCATTGTTTGCACCAGCCGCCGTAGCAGCCGCACCGTCGGCTTCTGGCTCCTCCTCCTCGACGGGCGCGCGCCGTTTGTACAGGATGCCGGAGCGCGCAGCGCGCAGCAGGTCCTGGGTATGGGGTGGCAGCAGGTGCCAGTCCTTGGGCATGCCGTGGGGCAGGTCTGTGGCCCACCGATTGTTGCTTTTGGATTCGCTCGTGTGGGTGGTCACGGGCGGTTCGATGTTGATCCATTCGTGCCGCCACTGGCGGACGGGGAGGCCCTCGAAGTCATCGTGCTCCGGGTAGGCATTCCGTACACCACGTCGCGTCTGCGTACTTATTCTATACTGGAGAGGGGGAAAGGTAGTATTAGTAGGAGCGCAGGATTGCGTGCCAGTTATGGTCGCGCTGCGCGACTTGCAAAGGGAAACATACAGATGGAGCCATGGCGAAGAGAGGCGCTGGGGCCGTCCTGTCAGCGCCCGTGTTCGGTCGCCGTTGTAAAGCTTGTCGGCTGCGTCGCCTCAGTCATCCAATGGTCAAGTAGAGGATCGCCTCGCGTGATAGAATTGTTGTGCCGTGACGATCGTTTCGGCCGTTTGTGCAATCGATGGACTCAGACGTGGTAGGATAGCTTGGGGCGATGCGCGGATGGAGCAAACGCGACGATGGCGATGGACGCTCAATGCTGTCAATAGGCGAATTTGGTGATCGATTTGACTGTGGGATGCATCCCAAAACTTGATAGAAGGACCAAAAAAGTAGGATCGCGTGCGCCAAAGAAGGGAGCGCGGCGTTTTTACCGCGAACGAAAGATGATCTGGGGGCCGTTTCGGGGTGGTCGGCGCCGGAGTATGGGCTGGTTGTCGCGGAGGGTCGTCGCGCGTCCCGAACAGTTCAATCAAAAATCGCTAGCAAAGGGGTTGGCTGGTGAGAGGATCGCGACTAGGGCGAAAACTGAACAGAGAGGCAGATTGCTGGTTTGGAAGATTATGTAATGAGATATTATTATCACGTGATAAGTTATGGGTCCAGAAGGAACTCGACTTAGAGTAAACATCAATCTCACGTTGAAAAGATGACAGGAGTAACCTTGGATCGAATAAACATTGTGAATATTTTTTTGCTTAAAATAATTATTAAAAATTCTGAATTGTATGAAACGATGCCAAATCAGCAACCAGTCAGGCTCCCCCTCGTCGACCCACTGACTCAGTCCACGGCTACAGCTGGCTCACATGGTTCAAACCCCATGCGAGCCACTGGGCCACGAGCCACAAATAATCCAAAACGCTGTCGTGCCACACGGCCATCAGGTAGACAAGCGGCCCTATGATGATACGCGGATCAAAGAGCGTTGGGATGCAGGCACAGAAATGGTACGGCCCCGGTACGAGGAGCGGCATGGTGGAGCAGGAGCCTGTGTCGTGTCGGTACCGCAGCACAGCCGTCTGGAAGTACTGGGCCGGTGCGTCGGCCGTGTTGTTGGCGTCCAGCCAGAGGTTGCGCTCACTGATTGTGCTGACGAGGAGAAATATGCTAAAGACAACAAAATTGAAGATGGTGAGCTCGGCGAGGGCGTCTCTGGGGAAGAGAATGTACGCGTGGCGAATACGTTGGCGATAGGCCAGGGCGAGTGCCGTGCGAGCGTCGTGCAGTTGCAGCGAGGCAATGGACCTGTGCGATGCCGGCGAAGCCACGAGAGGTAGATCAACACCAGTGGCGTCGTCTGGTACGTCTGCCTGGCCGCGAGTCCTGTTTGGCAGCGGTGGTAGACTCAGGCGCTGTCTTCGGTTCCACAGCCGCAAGGCGATGTTTGTCAAAGTCAGGTAGGCTGGCACCAAGAAAGCAGACCGGATCCACCGGCCAACCGTTTCGACATTGGTCTTTTGCTTCACAATCATGAGAAGGATGGTCAACAGGATGTCGAGTATCGATGCGAAAATACCCGTGCCGAGCGGTTTGCGGGCCCGCTGGATGATGTAGGCGGCGGTGCCGCTATTAAAAAGTGACAGTGCCGGTGATGGAGGCGGCGGTCGTTGGTTGAACTGTCGAACTAGAGGCGTAGGGGGTGGTGCTGTTGCGTGAAGCATGCGCTGGACCTCGTTGACAAGCCGTTGCCTGTCCCAATTGGCCATGGGTGTCGATGGAGTCGCCGGGACAATTGGAAGTGTTGGGGTCAGAGGTGGGTACGGCGTCAAGGGTGGTATCGGAATTGGTGATACCGGTGGACGGGTGAAATGGCGAGACGATCGGCGTGATGCTCTCCTCATGAAGTCGGACGTGGAAGGCAGTTCCGGGAGTAGATCTGTCTCGGTTGCGTGTTGCGCCGGATTATCTTCTGTAGCGGAGGGGCGTTCGTCGTGCTCGCCCTTCGCCTTGCTGTTTTCTTGTTCATCGCCTTGTTTGCTGTCCTTTGTTTTATGCTCGACTTCCTCGTTCGTCTCCGTCTCTGTTTCGTCCTCTTCCGCGCCTTCGTTTTTCATGGCGCCTTCTCTACCTTCTGCGACCTGGCCTTGTACCGCCTCATTTTTGTTTTTCTCCTCTTTGGTAGCCTCTTTATCTTTGTGTGGAAACTCTCGATCAATCAGCTCCCGCAGCAGAGTGCGCAGCTTGTCCATGTCCCTGGCCCTGTCCTCCGTCTCCGCATCAATCTTGTCTCGTTCATACACCGCTTCCTTGGCTAGCTGTAGAGCAGCGTCCCGCTCGTCCTCAAGATCGGCCAGCTGTTTCTTGACGGCAGCCGTGGCAACTTCATGAGCTTCCTCCTGAAGCGTTTTAAGCAGCGAGTCACGTTCTGCCTTTGAGGCGGCCGCCTTGGCCCTAGCTTCGGCCCTGGCTCTGCGGCGAGCGTCCCTGGCCTCTTGTCGTTCGTTCCGCTCTTCCTCTGCCTCTTCTTTGGGCTGCTCTTGAATATCGTATGTCTTGTGGCGATGCGGGTTAAGCGGGTTGGACGAGTGATCGCTGTCTTCGTCGGCACCAAATTTGGGACGAAGCGAAGGAGAGCGGATGTTGAGGTAGTCAAGGAGATTCTTGTCGTGCAGCTCGGCGGCCGACTCCAGTTCGGAGCTGGATGCATCTTCGTCGTCGTTGAAGACGTCATCGTAGCTGCGTTTGACGGCACGCGTAGCCCGCGTGATTCGTGCATCGCGTTGGGCGCTATTCTGGAAAGCCCGCACGACGGGGTCGTATTCGTCATCATTGTCCGAGTCAAATGCCCAATGCCTGGCAATACCGGCCTCCATGATGGAGAAGAGAGTGTCGTCATCATCGTCATTATCATCGTCGTCGTAACTCTCGTCCCCGCCATCCTCGCCGTCTGCATCGATGTTCTCGGATGGATGGGAATTTTCGAGGTCGTCTCGGCTAGTGTCTTGAGTTGGTATAGTAAAGAAACGCATGGGTATCGAAAATATTGCGAGTGCGCCACGCCATGGTTCCTTTACTGGAGCTGGCTTATTAGGCTCGTCGGGCTGGCCTGGCTGGATGGCCGTCCTTCTGTTGCGCCACAGTCCCTTCCGGTGCTGCTCCATGGACCAAAACAGCATGTTCACGAGCCTGCCGAGGTCGCCGAGCACATGCATTGGGCCCTGGATGTCTTGGGACAGTGCATCGTGAACGTCCTGGTTCTTTTGCATCTCGACCCGGAGAGCCTCGTTAACGACAAGAAGAATGTGATGGAGTGTGACGCCGCTCTCGTCGGCGAGACGCATAGGCCGTGGTGGCCGGTCCGGTGGAGAGACAGGCCGCCGTTCCTTGGCAATGGCAGCGGCAGCGGCATTGTTGAGGGTTATGTCAAGCGGCGGCGGTCGCTTCGTCTCCTTGCTCTTGTCGTGTTTGCCGTCTTTTGGCGCTACTTCTTCGGGTGCGGGCTCAGGCTCAACTGGAGGAAGAGCTGGCACAGACGGTTTTTGTATGGCGACAGGCTTGACATTGCGCTCAATATAAGGCATATTTGCGTTCAGCTTTCTGGCAAAACGGATCGGTCTGCCTTTGCCTTCCGGGCGCCTCGGTGGTTGCAACGCCCGTGCTTGCCTTTCCAAGCGGGCTTCCAGAATTTCCTTTTCCTTTGCCAGCTCGGCAATTTTCTGCTTTCCAGCGCGTCGCCGCGCCCTCCTTTCGGCCAGCTCGGCCTCTGTCAGCGGTGGAGGCTGCTCCCAAAAAGGCCGCCGCACCTCCTTCTGTTTCGGTTTCTCAGGCTCGTCCATATTTGCGGATGTTATTTCGAGAAATAAATTAAATCAAAGTCAAGTATCGTAACCTTGGATAAGCTTGACGTGGTGTTGTATCGCTATGAAGCTTCGTCGGATGCTGTTTTCGAGTTGACAATGTTAGGAAGAACAGCCCGTGAGCTCACTTGCTCGTCGAGCGCAAAAAGAAAATGTCCTTGCATTTTCTTCTTTCATGTTATTTCCCTCATTTTTCTCTTTTCACGCACTTCTCCCGTTTTCCCTGCATTGTATCTGGCATGCGAAGTCTTTGGCCCCAACAGAAAGGTATATTGACCGGACGCAGCCATGTCGCGTTTTGGACAACAAAGAAAACACGGAAAGGACAAAGAAGTGTGTCGAAGAGTTGAAAGCGTGGTGCATGTCTATTTATTGATAGTTATGTTTGGAGAAAGAAAAGGCCGTGCATATGAAAGGAGAACGGAAGTCAAAAAGGGGAAGCCAGGGAGGGAAGTCGGCTGGTGCGTTCCTGCCGTTCTAGTCGGACTGGCGACACTCCCATGCCATGTTCTATTTTTGCTGGATGCTTCCGAATTCGGCAATTTTGCCTTGCAAACCGAACGAGGGAAGGAGCCGGCGACGGACTTCAGAGGTTGTTTGTACGGAGAACTATTCCTCGGGAAGCGCGAAGCACGCCGTCCAGCCCTGCCAGGCGAATGGCCCTGGCTCAGCGAGGTGCAAGGCGGCGGAGCGCAGATCATTCCTTCCTCGCACTACCTGATCCGCCCTGTTTTAAATTGCGAAGTTCTTCCCCGCCATTTCTCAAAGTAAGACGACAATTCGTGTGCGTCGTTTGGTACACCGGTCTCTCGCGCTGACGGACTCGTCCCGGCGGTAGATGCGGTGTTATGATTTAAAGTCCGGCTGACCTGATTCAAATAGACAACTGCGGAGTAGAGATGGCATTGTTTTTGTCGACCCGAACCCAGTTCGCATCGTCCATCGACCGACTTTATTCCAGTACAATCCAATTTCGCTCAACATGAAACTCATCATCGCTGGTGCCACGGGCTACACCGCGACCGAGCTCATTCGCCAGAGCTTGCGGCGGCCCGAAGTCACGTCCGTCGTCGCTGTCGCGCGCAAGGCCACACCTGTGCCTAGCGACATCGCCCCCGGCAGCTCCGACGCCGCCAAGCTCACCAGTGTCGTTGTCAAGGACTATGAAGGCCCCTACGACGCCGACGACCGCGTCAAGACCGCCCTTGCCGGCGCTGACGCCTGCATCTGGACCGTGGCCATCACGCCGTCCAAGTCGTCGGCCTATCCCTTCGACGAGGTGCGCCGCGTCTGCCAGACGAGCACGCTCGCTGGCCTGCGGGCGATCCACGCCGCGCGGGGTGGCAGCACCAAGACCTCGCCGTTCCGTTTCATGTACATGAGCGGCATTAACGCCGAGCGCGACCAGACCAAGACGCCGAGTTTCAAGCCCGAGTACAGTCTGATGCGAGTGAGTCTTTTCTTGTCCTGGCTTCGGTGGCTTCGCCCGATTTTTGCCCTTGCTTCATCGCCGACATGCTGACACGGTTCCCAGGGCGAAACCGAAAACCAGGTACTCGCCTACGCGGCCGAACACAAGCCCGACGTCGAGGCCATTATCGTCAAGCCCGGCCTAATCACCAGCGGTCGCGTCGTCCAGGACTGGATTATGGCACCGCTTCTCGGCTTTGTTGCCGGCGTACCCAGCATCCCGTTGACAGTTCTCGCGTCGGTCATGCTCGATGCAGCAATCAACGGCGCCAAGACTGACACACTTATGCACCACGACATGTGCAAAATTGGCAAGGAGCTTGTCGAGAGCGGCAAGTCTTCGTCGTGAGATGGGTGGGAGGGGACTGAGACGAAGAATGTAGCACGTACTGAAATGCAAGTGACTATATCATTACCATTCATAATGTGACATTGACGACAGGTCGAGAATGTGTATCTGTCGCACTTGCAACCAACACCGGAACGCGTCGATCGTTCCGATACAAAGCTTGGCGGAGCGTGTAAGTGGTGATCGGGGGAAATAGGAAGCGCACCGTGGCTCAGCGCACTTAAACGCTAAGATTGCAAAGGATAAGATTACAGCAGGCGGCAGCGGAGGCCGTCTGCATCAAATAACCACGGAACACGGCAATGCCCAGTTGGCCGGAGCAACTCTGAGCAGGGGAATATTGTGCAACGCAGACATCAAAGCTTGACTCAGACGTCATGTGAACAGACTTGCAATTTCCTGCATTCCATATTTCTCCTTTTCTTGACTCTGGACTAAGATGCCCTGAAGGAGGCTAACTTCAGCGACTGACAAGCCAAAATACGACAGTAGGTACGACCGAAGGACACACAAAAACCCAAAGTCGGGTGCAAACACCCCGATCTGACATGGAAGAGCCACATAAATAGAAAGCCTTGTCAACTGCATTTTGCTCCCTGCGTCTGTGTTGAACAAGGGGTTAATTCGCCCAATTATTTTCAAATAAGTTCGGACAATATCTCAGAAACTTACAGGGTACAACAACGTAGACTATACGGTACGGAAAATAGAACTGGACGTCGTGCCTGCCTCATTGGTCTACAGACTGACTGCAAACGGCACCATACTCGGACTGCAGCCCTAACTCGCTGCAGCAGGCAGGCCCAACCCGGCCCGCACACAACGTGCCTCAATATTCACACCTCTCCACACGTTGTTCGCGCCTGCCCCTCCCCGTCCGTTTTTGTTATGGCGACTGCCCTTTTCCGCCGCCCTTTGTCTTCCGCTTTTTCATCCGGTGCTGCCTCCTCGAACACAAAGAACAAGCTGAACCGCAACGGCGTCGCCTCACCCAATTGCACCGCCTCCTTCATTCACACCACCTCGGCCATGTCGTCAGCAGCGCCATCCCAGCCGGCGCCTGACCGCGACAGCCAGACTGTCACCCTGCCGGACGGCCGCACATTGGGCTTTGCCGAGTATGGCGCCCCCGAGGGTGCCCCCGTCATCTACTTTCATGGCTTTCCCTCCAACCGCCTCGAGGGTCAGGCTATGGACAAGTCCGCCAAGCGCCACAAGGTCCGGCTCTTGTGTCTCGACCGCCCCGGCTACGGCCTGTCTACGCTGCAGCCCGGTCGTCGCATGCTCGACTGGCCCGACGATGTCATGACCTTTGCTTCGACCCAGAACCTGAGCAAGTTCGGCGTCCTGGGCGGCTCCGGGGGCGGTCCCTATGTGCTGGCGTGTGCGTCCAAGCTGCCGGCCGGTGTGCTCACACACGCCGGCGTCATGTGCGGCGGCGGCGCCTTTGACAGGGCGTCTCGGGTGGCGGGCGTGGTCCCTCGCCGGTCGCGGGTGACGGCCTGGTTTGCGACATATTGGCCGTCGGCGCTGCGCGTGATGGTGGCCGGGTTGGCGGGCACGATCCAGTGGGTGGTGCGAACGCGGATGGTCTCGCGGTGGATCGACAACTGGTTTGCGGCCATGGACAAGAAGGAGGCGGAGCGCAAGACGGAAGAGAAACAGAAAAAAGAGGCGGCGAAAGCCAAGGCGATCGCTGTGGCCGACACGCACAGCGAAGGCTCTATTGCCGGGTCCGACTTTGAAGAAGTCGCCGCCGTAGCCGCATCGGTCGAGTCGCTGTCGACCGTCGCCACGACAAAACCGGGGTCGACCAAGGCTGCCGATGACGATGTGCATGATGTGCATGAGGTTGACCCCGAAGACGAGGAGGACGGTGAGCCCAAGCGCAGCATTCCCGAACGGCGCGAGGCCATGTTCCGCGCCCTCTTTCACACGTTTGCGCAGGGTGCCGAGCCGACTGTGCAGGACGCCCAGGTGCTGTGCAGCGACTTGGGTTTCCGGTTCGAAGACATCACATATGACCCCGTCACGTTCTGGCACGGCGACCAGGACACCAACACGCCCCTGCCCTGGATCCAGCAGATTACCGACCGCATGCCGCACGCCGTCCTGAAAGTTTACCCGGGCGAGTCGCACTACTCACTGGTCGGGCATATTGATGAGATCGTCGCATACTTTTCACCCAAGGCCAGCGAGGCGGGGGAGAAAACGGCTCCCGAGGATGCGGAAGGCAAATAGGCGAAGCTCAACAACAACTCGTGACCGACCAAGCCGACGTCCGGACCAAACAATTGAACAACAAACGAGACACAACATACTTCGCCACTCCTTACACCTTTTTACAACTCCACTCTGGGGCCCTACCTCCCAACAACGTGCCCTCTTCTCACTACATTTATACATTCAGCTTTATTTGTTCCTTTAAGAGATATCCCCACCACTGTATATTATATTTTGTTGCATAGCCATTCACATGTTGTAGCGCTGTTGGCTTTCTTCTTTTTGAATATATATTTGTGTTTAGAAGAAAACAAACAAAAATGCATCGGCTTTACATCATTACTTGGGAAGTCTTGCCTATCCTCCGTTGTGTTCCTTCTCTTAACCGTCCAACTTCCCACTTCAAGTAAACCACGTCTGCCCACTTGGGTGTGACGGCTCTGCCGACTCCCGGTGCTCAATCATCGGTTTCGTGATATTAAACAGTTCAATCATCTCCTTCCACATGGCCATGTCGATGGCCAGAATCAGCTGATGCCGCTGCGTGTCTTCGGGCGCATTTCCACCGTTCTCTCCGGCCTCGTCATTGTGTGCCGCGTTCCGGTTCTTCTTGCCCCGCCGCCTCCCGCCACCAAGCTCACGCTCGTCCCGCCCTCCACCGCCTTCCTCGTTAATCGCCTGCACGCGCTCACCACCGCCGTCCTCCGCCTCCGTCGGGAAGATGGACGGCAGACCCGTGTGGTCGTAGGCTAGACCTGCACGCCCGTCGCGCACCAAGAACGAGATGTAAAACAGATTCTCGACCGTCTGCGAGAAGGACAACGGGTTCACCGCGAACCGGATCAGGTCCACGCCGCCGTTGCTGTGGATGCCGACCTGCTCGAGCAGCTGTTGCATCGCCGCCGCCATTGCGGAGCCGGGCTCGTCCCCGTCCTCGTTGTCGTCCTCCTCGTCGAGACCGGCCGCCTGGATCCGCCGCACCAGTTCTGCGCCACGCGCCACCGCGCGCCGCAGCTGCTGCAGAATGTCCGTTGCCAACGTCGTCAGGATGTTGTCGCTCTTTTTCGTCGCCGCCAGCTCGTCTGCCTGCAGCACCTGCGGCCGCACCTCGCGCAGCTCCGCCAGCCGCAGCGCCGCTGTCCGCTTGCGCTGCACGCGTGCCTTGTCGTCGCCGTCCGCCGGCGCCATGCGCGGCAAGAACCGTGCCAGCGCGGGACGCCGTGTGCGTGGCAGGCACGCATACCGGCCAAAGTGTTCCCAGTCCAACGGCTCCCATGCTGCCCGCCCGTTCCTCTGCACAGCACCACCCTCCTCGTCCTCAGCAGCGCCGTCGTTGTCGTTGTCGTCGTCGTCCCCGCTGCTGCCACTGTCGTCGCTCATGTCGGCCAGCTCGTCCACCACCGCCTCCGCGCCCGTGGCGGCCGCTGTGCGCGCAGCGGCCGCGCGAGCCGCCGACCGTGCGGCGGTGCGAGCTGCCTGGGCCCGGGCCCGCGCGTCCCGAATCGCCCGCCGTGCACCGTCGTCCGCGTGGGCCAGCGCCTCCCCACGCCGCCGCTTGCGCTGCGACCGGGACAGCTCCCGCGCGTGCATGTTCTTGATGCCCCGCCCCAGCCGCATGTAGTCTTGGCATCGCGTGGCAAAGTCCTCGAGGTCGATGCCGGTGTGGTCCTGGCGTTCGGCCAGGAAATTGGTCGTGCGCTTGAACGCCAGCTCCGACACGCGCAGCACGAGCGTCGCGTCGATGGTGGCCTCGGTGGTTTGCCGCGTCTGCCTGAGCAGGTGGCTCGATTCGTTGAGCAAGTCGTGGACGGCGTGCGAGTCCTGGTCGTAAAAGGCGGCCTGGTCGGTCGTCGTCTGCTTGATCAGGCCCCGCATCTCGCGCTGCAGCATCCGCCGGTGTGCCGCCGCCTCGTGTGCATCCACATCATCGTCGTAGCCGACTTCATCCCACTGGACATCCTCGGCTTGCGACAGAGAGAGATCGACCGGTGCAGACCGAGGCTCTGACCGTTCTGACCGTTCTGCCCGTTCTGACCGTTCGGCACGACTACTTCTGCTAGAGCTACCGACACCATTGCTTCCGCTCGTCGAGCTCTGTCCGTTCTTGCCCCGATGGACCATGTTTCGAGACTTGGGCGTCGCTAATGCCGTACTTGACTGACGGCGCGAAGACATGCCGAGATGTGTAGTCGGAAAGTCTGTTATTGGGTGTCGTGTTGATTCGCTTTTTAAGTCTCCGTCATTTGCTAAAGGTAAAGCCCAGAAGCTGGCCCGTCGTTCATATCTGGCTCGCCGCTGCCGGGTCTTCCTTTTCGTTGTCGCTTTTGTCGTCACTTATTAGTCAACTAACGACGCGTACCTAAAGGACCCGACAAATACAGCGCGACGTGCGTGCCGTGTGTGGTAAATTGGTGGGGAAGTCGGCAGTCTGCAAGATTACATAACACTTCATCGATAAGCGCAAGCTGCTCTGTTCAACGTCGTATTAAGCACCAGGCCCCACTAGCAGTACTTGTAGCGCCGCACCGCAGCTTCCCTTACAGCTAGCTGCCTATCTTCACTGTCGAAGCTCAGAGCCTCGCCAACTCTCATCAATCACACAACGAAGGAGAGATCGAGAGGAGGAGCACAACAACCCCAGCCAGCGGCCACCACCCGCTCAAGACAACACGCAATACTTTCCCGCCTGATGGAGCCCTTCTCGTTTGCCAGCTCCGAGGCGCTGAACCTGCCCGTCAGCATCCGCATCGTCAGCCTCGAAGGCGACGAGACGCCCTTTCTCGACTCAACAATTATCACCCATCCCGAGATCCGGCACGTCGGCTCGAATACCAGCTTCAGCTCCGATCTCTATGCAACCGCCCAGGTTTGGGCCGGCTCCAAGCCCTTGACCGTCCCCGTCCAGACCGCCTACCGACCCTTCAAGTCTGAGCGCAAATGGAACGAGTGGCTGCGCCTGCCCATACGCTACTCGGGACTGCCGGCCAATGCGACCGTGGCCGTGACGGTGTGGGACATCTCGCCCGCCGGTTCGGGTTCGGGAACCGCCGCGAGTCCCGGCCACGCCGTGCCCTTTGGCGGCACGACCATTCCTCTTTTCGACAAGGACAACCAGCTGCACAAGGGTAGATACAAGTGCCTGGTGCATCGCCTGGCCGAAGCAGACGGATACGACAACTCGACGACACCGGCGTTTCCGGACAAGTTGTCGGTGCGCCGCCGACGACGGACAAGAAAAGTACGAAATCGGGACAGCGGTGGCGGCAGCGATGACGGCACCGTCCACGACAACGACGACAACGACGACGACGACGACGATGCTGATAGAGTCGACGGCGAGGACGATGGTGTCGATGGGACCGGCGACGACGCATCGCCATTACGAGATCCAGACGAGGTTGAGATCGAGCGGATGGACCGGCTGTTCAAGAAGCACGAGATGGGCGAGATTCCTCGGGTTGAATGGCTGGACCAGCTGGTCTTCCGTGGCTTCGAGAAGCGCGTTATGCGCAGCGCTGCCTCGTCGCTAAAGGTGAAGCAGGCATACACGGGAGCAGCGGCAGGAGGAGCAAACGGCGACAATCCAAGTAGTCAAGGCAACGGCAAAACCGCCAACCGCAGGCCCGGCCCATCACGATTCCTGCTCAACGTCGAGTTCCCCCGCTTCGATTTTCCCGTCGTCTTCGTCGATCACGAGTACCCGCCACCACCCATCTCCTCCCTCCAAAACCTGTCGGCGTCGCAATCTGGCATCATTCTCAAACCACCACCAGAAGTTCACCTCGGGCCCGGAATCGATGGTGCTGTCGGTGACTCTGCTCTGGGTGGCCGCTTGGTCCGCGTCTACGACCCAGAGGTCGGCGCCCGCGACAATCCGGCCGAGAGCAAGCACCGCCGGCTCGTGCGTAGCCAGCACCGCCACGGCACGCTCGACAAGGACCTGAAGCCCAACGCCAAGGTGCGCGACGAGCTCAACGTCATCACATCGTACCCGCCAACACAGGCCCTGTCGTCCGAGGAAAAGGACCTGGTGTGGAAATTCCGGTACCACCTGACGCGCGAGAAGAAGGCCGTCACCAAGTTTGTCAAGTCGGTCAACTGGCAGGACGCAGCCGAGGCCAAGCAGGCCGTGCAAGTATTGGGCCGCTGGACCAACATTGACGTCGACGACGCCCTGGAGCTGCTGGGCCCGACGTTTGACCACCGCGCGGTGCGTGCCTACGCCGTCGAGCGCCTGCGCAAGTCGGGTGACAGCGAGCTGCTGCTGTATCTGCTGCAGCTGGTGCAGGCCCTCAAATTTGAGCACATTTCCACCACTGAGGCCGAAGCTGGTGCGGCCGCTGCAGCTGCTGGGCGTGACAATGACGACAATACACTGATTGCTGCCGGGCATACCCGGCGAGAAGCCGAGCTCGCGGCTGCTGCTGCCACGACAATACAGGACTCATCTCTGGCCCGCTTCCTCATCACACGTGCGGCCGGCAATCTCATGCTGGGCAACTACTTTTACTGGTACCTCATGGTCGAGTGCGACGACCACAGTGTGGAACAGTCGGCCGAGTACCGCGCCGTCTACCGCAAGGTGGCCTACGACTTTATGGCCGAGCTGGAGCTGCGGCCCGGTGGCTCCGAGACACGAAAAACGCTGCGGCGGCAAGCCGAGTGGGTCGCTGTCATGGCCAAGATTGCCGGCGAGGTCAAAGAGGCACACGAATCCATTGCACGGCGTGTCGAGCGCGTGCGCCACTTTGTGCAGGATCTCAAGAACGAGCTCGTCACGATCGACCCGCCGCTGCCTCTTCCCCTTGACCCGGCCATCGAAATCACGAGCGTGAGCGCCGACGACGTGGCCGTCTTCAAGTCGTCGCTGCACCCGATCAAGGTCTCCTTCCGGGACACGCAGGGCCGCAAGTACCCGATTCTGTTCAAGATGGGCGACGACCTGCGGCAGGACCAGCTGGTGATCCAGATCATCACGCTGATGGACCAGCTGCTCCAAAAGGAGAACCTCGACCTCAAGCTGACGCCCTACAAGATCCTGGCCACGAGCAACCGCATGGGCTTGACTCAGTTCGTGCCCTCCGTCAGCTTCCAGAGCCTGGCGGCGCGCTACAAGGGCGCGCCCAATGCGGCGCTGGCCTACTTGCGGCAGAACAACCCGGACGCCCATGCGCCGCTAGGCCTGCGCCGCGAGACGCTCGACACGTTTGTCAAGTCGTGCGCCGGCTACTGTGTGGTGACGTACATTCTGGGCGTGGGCGACCGGCACCTGGACAACTTGCTGCTGGCGCCCGACGGGCACTTTTTCCATGCCGATTTCGGCTTCATCCTCGGCCGCGATCCCAAACCGTTTGCCCCGGCCATGAAGCTCAGCAAGGAAATGGTCGAGGCCATGGGCGGCAGCGGATCGGAGCACTACCGGCAGTTCAAGCAGTACTGCTTCTTGGCGTACACGGCGCTGCGCAAGTCGAGCAACCTGATTCTGAACCTGTTCAGCCTGATGGTCGACGCCAACATCCCCGACATCCTGTGGGAGCCGGACAAGACGGTGCTCAAGGTGCAGGAGCGGTTCCACTTGGAGCTCAACGAGGAGGACGCGATCCGGCACTTTGAACGGGTCATTGACGACAACCTCAATGCCATTGTGCCTGTGGTCATTGACCGGCTGCACGAGTTTGTGCAAGCGTTCCGGGCGTAGGGGAGCTCTTGTTTTGGGAATCGAAGAAGCGTTGCTGGGCATTGTATATAGAGTAACCTATAGGCGCAATGACGATGTTATGACAACACACGAGGGTATTTATTCCTGGCTAAGAAACTTAAAGTGAACCAGAACCCGTATCAACTATACGGGCCTTTTTGAGGGAACATCTGAAGTCGAGAAAGTAAGCAAAAGCAAGTAGTCAAGCCAAAGTAGCTATTGAACGGAAATGTGCAACAAAATTATGCCATAAATCTCTGTCCCTCGTTTCTCTTTTAATTTTCATTATCATTGATATGCTGCACCCTCCTCTTCCGCCGGGACGGCCGTGTGTACATTACATAAATACATCGTGATATATGCATAACAATGTTGAGAAACATAAAACGCTCAATGCCGTGAAAAGAATTTTTTCAGACGGCCAAATAACAGCAAACGAGGTATAAACAGGTATAAACAGTCCAAGCACAGCGCATGCTTTAAATGTAAGTTTGCCAAAAGCACAACGATGTAAATGCAAAAACGCCATATTTTAATCCGTGTGGTCCTCTTTATAAGACCACAAGGCTGAAGACGATGGTGGACATGGCCACACCAACGGCCACGTACGTGTTGGCACCGCGCTGTAGCGACCAGCCGGCGGCCGAGGACGCCGACGCCACGAGAATATCATCGACAATGTGGGCCACACCATTGGTCAGGACAATGTTGGATGTGGTGATGAGTACGCCGTTGACATAGTAGTTGTTGTTACGGTCGACGGCAATGGTGAGCTTCTTGCCATTCTTGGTTGTCAGCACCTGCCCGTCACTGAGATTCGGCAGATAGCCGACAGTGTCATTATCACCGGCGACCACAACATGGTCCTCAACAATATTCTGGATGTCCGAGGCCGACAGCGAGGCCGACAGCTGCGCCGACTGCACCGCGGCGTTGTTTGGCACAAAGACAGTGATGGACGAGGTGTTGTCAAGAGTATCGGTGAGGCCGGCCGTGTCAACGAGGTTGGCAAACTGGGAGTAGCCCAGGATATCGTCTGTCTGCGACAGCGTGGCCGGAATGGTGAAGAACCCGTCAAGCACCTGGATGACACCACCGGCATAGTAGATGTCGGGGTTGTAGAGCGAGACGGATTCGCCAAGGCCCGAGTAGAGGATAACAGTGGCGTTGGTTGAAGTCGTGTTGGTGCTGACCGAACTGTTGTCGCGGGCGTGGAGGGAGTTTTGGGCGTTGAGCCGGCGGTAATCGGACACTACCACCTGGGTCGAGCCATGGAGATCAGCGGCCGCGTCGTTGGTCGAGATTGTGGCACCAGGGATCGCGCGCAGACGTGCGAGATTCGTCTCTTCTTTGCCGGCCGCCAGCTGGGCTCTCTGAACGTCAGCGGGCGAGAGCGTGCGACGGTGCAGGTTGACTGCTGGGGTTTGTGACGTGGGCATAGTGCCGTTGAAGTACTTGTCGCCAACAGCAAAGATGGTCTGTACAGACGCAGAGCTGTACAGTGCCCAGAGACCAGGGTCGGACTTGAGAAAATCCAAAAAGTTGCCACAGCCTGCAAAGATCAGCGCATCATCCAAGGAGGCAGCAGTAGATAGTGTCGCCGCACCACCGCCACCCGACCCGGAGCCAGAGCCAGAACCTGAGCCGGAACCTGAGCCTGAGCCGGAACCTGAGCCGGAGCCAGAACCTGAGCCGGAGCCAGAACCGCCTCCAGACCCACTCCCGGTGCTGCCACCTGAGCTGTCTCCTGAGCCAACACCGGAGTTGCTACCACTGGTGCCGCCGTTGTTTCCTGAGGCTGAGCCTACTGGTGAGTTGGAGGCAACATTCGGGGCAGCCGGGCTAGTAGCAGTATTAGCCGTAGGTGCTACAGCAGCCGCAGTACTCGATGCTTGTGAGGCAGCCTGGGATACGGGCGAGGCATTCGACACAGCAGGGGCAGGGCTGGGAGAAGTGTTAGGTGAGGAGTTGGTCGAGGAGCTGGGCGAGGAGTTAGGTGAGAAGTTAGGTGAGGAGTTAGGTGAGGAGTTAGGTGAGGAGTTAGGTGAGATGTTTGGCGACGTGGTAGGTGAGGTATTAGGCGAGATATTAGGCGAGGTATTAGGCGTTGTACTGGGAGTCGCATTGGGAGTCGTCCTGGGTGTTGTGTTTGGTGAGGTGCTAGGGCTCGTCGTAGCGCTAGGAGATGTTGGGTTGGGAGAAGTCGTAGGGTTCGGTGATGATGTAGAATTTGGTGAAGTGGTAGGGTTAGGAGAAGTTGTCGGTTTTGGGGATGATGTTGGCTTAGGAGAAGAAGTCGCCTGGGGAGTCGAACTGTTCTCAGGAGTTGGCGTAGTGTTGGGAGGAGACTCTGTACTAGGTGTTGATGTAGTCTCAGGTGTTGTAGATCTCTGGGACGTTGATGTTGTCTTCGGCGACGAGGTAGTCGGTGGCGTCGTAATCGATTTGGACGAAGTCGAGGACGAAAGGCTTTCTTGCGGACTTGACGTCAATGCAAAACTGCTCGAGGAAGGCTCGACTGATGACGACGATGTCGTCGAAGTCGGAAGCCCGGTGGGTGTCGTCGCAATCAGAGTGATGCACTCCGAAGTGACCATTGGGTCAAACGAGATACACGTAGAAGTCAATACAGTCGTCGAGTTGGTCTCGCAAGCATGTCCTGTGCTGTGCCACGTCCAGGCCGGTGTAGATGGAGTCGGAGGTCCAGCTGATGTTGAGGGTGGAGCCGTCGCGCCACTGCTACTCATGCTGTCCACCGAACTGCTCAAAGGCACGGGGCTGCTTGGCTGCGATGCTGTCGTAAGGGTACGCTCGGTTTCTGTGGTATATCCAAGACCGGACACCGTACCTGTTGTTTGCCAATTGAACAGCGGCAGGCGCGGCATACCCCAGCGCCGCCGCTTCGCAGCGACTTCAACATCAGCCGTCGCAGTGAGCCCGCTGATACCTAGCTTGATGTCCAGCACGGTGACGGTGATGCCCTTTCCTGGGGAGGTTGTCGTTTTCGTTGGTGCCGTTGGGCAGACTGTGGGAACGAGAATTGTCTCGGTCCAGACGGTGGTGACGGTGACAGCAGTGAATATCGTGAAGGTTGAGCATAATACGTTGAAGCCGGGGTTCAGGCTGTTGGACCCCGGCTGCACACCGTCCAGCACACCGATCCCTGCCGACACATGCGTGTTCTCCCAACCGACGCTGACGGTGGCTTCAGTTGGGTCGGCAGCAGGTGTCGGCGCTGGAGTGTATAGGTTGATATGGGTGGGTGCGGTTGCAGTTGCAGGTGTCGGTGCTGGTGCGTAGATACCCGCGTCGTTGTCGTTCGCGGCTGTGGTTTCGACGCGGACCACACTGGTTGCGACGTCCGCGGCGACTTCGTCGGCCAACCCATCGACTAGTTCGCGAGGATGAAGAAAGGGAAAGGTCGGCCAGGCTGACGTAGTCGGCAGCGAGGCAACAAGGGCAGCCAAAGTTGCTATGCGCCGGATTGGCGGCCGTGATAGCCACATTCTCTGGTGAATGTGTGTAGGATGGGGAGGAAGAGGAGGGAGAGGGGAAGTAAGGACGACACTGAGAGAGAAAGAAGTCTCACGACGAGGCAGAGAAATGCATAATCTGTCTAGGCCTCTCAAGGTGTAAACAAGGGGGAAAGGAAGTAAAGAGCAGAACAGAGTCGACTCTCACAGCGAGTGTGGTGTTGTTTGTTGATATTGACAGAGATGGGCCGAATGAATTCAATAGGAGGAAAAGTAAATAAAGGGACACGACAAATTGGCTAAAGAGAAAAGGAAATGGAAGAGACGCTTCTCAGATTTTTCTGAACGACGAGGATAACGGCACTTTCCTCCTCTCCTTGCAGTTGCCTCTTTGGGAGAGCTGTTTTTTGTCGGTCGATCCTGCTGCAGGTACCTGAGTAACGAAATGGAGGAAGGCGCAAAGGTAGGTTGGACGATGGCCGATAAACGATACTGTGCTAATATTGATCCTGGTTCGGCAGCACCAAATACTATGACTGACTTGTAAGAACGGAAGGAGCAATAGAGTAGCCTCTGGATCCTTCTGTTTTAACGCTGCATGTTACTTAAGAAATGCTTTGCAGTGTTGTCAAGGTGATATGTGAAGCAATTCAAAAAAAGTCTGACGTGTGAATTGGCGATTGGCAACCTGTGGGGATTCGTAATTGTACGAAAGACAAGCGAGAGAATGGTACTACGAGGAGTGTAGGCAAAAAGAGAAGAAATGGAAATCATCAAAAAGATGACAGAATGGGCCAAAAGAAGAACAGAAAGAAAAGAAGCACATGGAAAACAGACATCGGCAGCTCCAGTGTGGCCAAGGAGGGGCCGTGGCCGGGATGTCCAAAAGAGACACAATATTTGCGACTGGTAACAGCTCCAGCTTCTTTTTTTGCTACCACGACAGCATGATGGACTACCAAGAATATCTAAAAGAACGGAGACTCGGAGCACTGTTCTCATTTCGTCTACATTATTGGCAAAATATGGGATTGCTACGTCGCTGAAGACGGCGTGTTCTCTTGGGAGACGAAGTGCAAATTCGATTGAGTCCGACCTCGGGAAAGGGACGATCATGGCGGCGAGCAGAGGCAATAGAGAAAGCGGGCAAATGTACAGCCTGAGGTGCACCATCCCTGCAGTTTCTTTTTTTTTTTTCCATTTTTTGTGCAGACCAAGACACTACCGTACGAGTATGTCTCTCTTGAGAGACAAGGTTCTGGATCGGACCGGACCACAAAATACAAAGAAAAAGGTTTCTTAACATCTGACTGGGAACCTTTCATTGCTTGCTGGCCGTGGGTAGAGAATGCGACTTTCGCAGCTTGACAGGCTATGTGTTCCACCCATGACTGCACAGCTGGCAGATCATATTGTGTACGGAGTACTTCTGTATTCAAGGTAACATTGAGTTCTCAGCTCGGGTATGTTTAGTAGTTCTCAAGGTTTCAACCCATTACGCCATTGCTTCGGTGGATTGGGCGAAGAAAACAATCCATGAATGGCAAGTGGAGAGAAAATAAAAGAGAGAGGTAATAAGAGAAGGAAGCGAGCAGAATAGAGAGAAGCATTGGCACAACCAGGTAGAACGTGGTGCGACTTTGTGTCAAAGAACGAAAACCTTCGGCAAATGAACAACACTCTCTGCAGAGAAGAGGGCCCGCCTGACGTGCATTTGAGTCTCCTGCAAAAGGTAATGTTGCCGTTGCCCACTTGCGAGATTCTAGCTGAGCGGGTTGGACAGAGCTGATCTCTGAGCTGTCATTTTTTCATCGCCGGCAGCCTTGGTGACCGCTCTTGAGATGTCCTTGTGGTCCCGTCAATGTCTGAATTTATTCATAACTGGACCAATCCGGGCGGAGAGGCGGGACACTGTCTCTCCTCTCTGTTTTCTAGCTTCCGAACCTGCTCATATTCAGTGTCAATCACTTGTGATTGGCACTGGCTCGCTTTTTCGCTTCTGTCATTTTCGCTTCTTTTTCACGTTTTAGTTTACTCGTGCCTCTTGTCTTTTCGCCGTCTCTCTCTAATGTCTTGCGCTGGAGGACACTTACATCGTAACGGAGAGTTTGCTCCTCCTCCTCACTTGGCCCTTTTCCTAATCGAGACATTTCTTTCTGTCCCGTCTCGTTTCCTAGCTCGACACAAACATCGTCCCCGACGCTAATGAGGTCCGTGTGGGCGCTTGCTCTTCTGACAGTTCAAGTTGATAATGCACGGCATGGCGCATGGTACGGGTGGTGCGCCCCAACGTGCGAAGGCGTAAGAGCCCCAACTTCGCCAAGATACCACCAGGCAGCTCACATACCAGCACGGTAGTTCCGCCCAAGTCATCGGGTTCTTCCTACTGGCTAGCCGTCCCGTCTTATGGCTTCAACTGGTGGCGACCGACCACAAGTACGCTGTACGATGTTTATCTGGGGGGCTGGAAGGGTCCCACCAATGCGACTCTACCGCTCTGTTTGGAAGGACATCAGCTTGCATGCGGCGCCAAACCGATGGACAAAATATTGGGGAGCTAAACTCTTCCGGGACATTTTAGACAGAATCTATTTTGTGATTCTGGATGTCGTAGGCACATCCTCCTCTCAAGCCACTTACAGAAAAATGATTCGGATACGACACCATGACGACGACGGTGAGGTGGGCAGAGTCCACGATTGGACACGGAAGCAGCAAAAGCCACGCCGGGTGTTCCAGGTGACGGAATCAACGAGAACATAACGAGTGAGCTGCACTGCAAGGGATACGTGACGACCTGCAGGATGAGGAGGGGGGTGGGGTTGGGGGAGGTGGGGAAGAAGAAAAGTAAGACGCAGAAAAACCAAGGACAAAAAATCAGGAAAGCCACAAAACAGAGCCGCAGAGGCAGCTTAGGTCGAAAGATGAACATGATCTTCGGCGAAAGAGGTGTCTGAACGACACAGCACACATAAATGTGGATTGTAAGGGAATGGTGACCCCGGTACGTCGTAAGATGATATGCGTTGAAGCATGCAAGTTTTCAATCGTGTAAAGAAAAAGATCGGCAGCCAGTGTCCGACAAAACAAAGGCTCGTGGCAGTGGCAACAAGAGATGGAGTGGCACGACACGAGCACGAGCACGCACATGGAAGAAAAGGAATATTGGCACCCAGAACAGGAGAAGAGAAGGGAGTCGCCTAGACCGGCCTTGTCGAGTCTAGACACGTAGTAATTACGTCGCATGTATATGTATTGACTAGTTGACGACGACGACATGCATGCCTCTCCATGAACATTAGAATAGAATAGGGAGCACGACAATAGACAGCCCAATCGACTAGGTAGCGTCAAGTAGGCGGTCTGAGTTGTCGGCCGTGTCTCAGCTTTTGTTTGCCCAAATGAGTGCAAGTCCCCGCCCCTAACGGCCACTAGTGAGAGGGTCCTGCCGGTAGTAAACAAACGAAATGGAAAATCGAAGAGAAACAGTAACTGGGGGGCCTGCGAAAGGTGCAAAGCAGAGACAGGCAAGCAAGGTGGGGAGAGTGCTGCTTGCAACCTCGAAAATGAGAGATGAAGAAGACGAAGGATGGGACATGTGACCAAGACAATGTTTCTTCATAATACGGGCGCCCCGTGAAGCTATTGACTGCACCCTGTCCAAATGTTCTTAGACGGGACATATGATGCTTGAAGATATATGACAGCTGCCTATTCACCGGCTCTCATCAAAATTGTCTCCATCCGAGAATTGCGTCTAGGACACAAGACTCGGCCTGCGCTGGCCAGTGGAGATGTCATAAGGGAAGAGGCCGGCTGGTGAACCGGTAGACAACTGTTACAAGAAAACGATGCATTGAGGAAGCCCAGTTGGTAATCCGCAAGATGTTCAACATGTTTGTACCCCAGGGAAAGAGCCGATGCCAAGTTTCCTGAACCTTCCTATTTGAGCAGTATTCTGTGCTACTGAGAATGGCCTCGATCCTTCTCAGCCTCCCACTGTCATATGTGCCTCGCACTTTCTTTTTTTTTCTTTCCTTTTTGGTGGGGAGAACTGCCACCCCTTCCACACTGGTCGCTTCAGTCCCGATCGTAGCTGCCCTGCATAACAATGCTCCGTCCGGAGGCGCCAAGGCTCTTTCCCTTTCTTATTCTTTTTATTCTAGGTTCTTTTGCTCGCGCTTTCTCTGTCTCTTCACACTCGCCACACTTAGCTTCCTACATCTCCAAATAGCTACCCCCTATTTCAACCATGTGAATGTTGTCTACAAAACTAGCCTAGCTTCTTTATCGTGACATATTGCACCGAAACATTCAATGACAAGTCATTGGCCTTGACGCCTCTGCTAGACAACGCTGCAACGCCATTTCTTTTCGTCTTGGCTCAGCTGCTCTTCTTCAATCCCTCTCCAAGCTCTTTCACCTGCCTCCCTCTCTTCTCCAAACTCCTACTCTTCTCCGAACCTCGATCGTCATCCGCGATCGGCTTGTTTATCGAGGTTATCGGTCGGGTTGTGCCTCCTGGGCACCGATTGCTCCCTCGACTTTGCTTCCCCGTCCTATTGTTATCTTCTTCTCATTGGAATTTACATATTACACTAATCCGGTTGCCTCACTTTTCCTCCTCCCTCCATCGGTCTCCGTCTTCACCACACAATGGTCTACTCTTCCGCGCCACAGCTGGCGTCCACGTACCGGTTATGGCACCAGTTTACAATGCCCATTGACGGCGGCCAACGCCTTGCCATTTCCGTTCCCAGCTACGTCGCCGACCAGCTCAGCTCCGCCTACACAATTATGGTCACCTCCATGATCGTTAACGTATGGTGCATCTGCTTTGCGCTGGGCTTCTTCTACATCATGCGGCACAACCACGAGCTTGGCTCGCTGTCGTCCAACCTCTGGAACAAGCGCGCTTCCATGTCCGACTCGCTCTTGAGTCTTATGCAAAAGCAAGCCTCCCATTGGAAGCGCTGGTGGGTTTACCCGGCCATTGGCATCATTGTCGGCTGCTGGGTTGCCGAGACCGTGCT